TAACTATAAAAGATATTTATATCTTTTTAAGGTTTACTAGGTTTTATAAGTACTTTATTAAGAATTCTTTAAAGATTACTATACTACTAATAAATCTCTTTTATAGTAATACTACTAGTACTATTATACTAAGTTCTAAAGCTCTAAAGGCTTTCTATAAGTTATAACTAGTCTTTATAAAGGCCTTTTTCTTATGTTACTATAACCTTAAACTACTTATACATATAAAAACAGATATATTTACTTATACTATTAGTACTATTCTTTTATAGCTATAAGAAGGCTACTAGTACCTTATAGCGTTTATTTCTAGAAAGCTAAAAGAGCTAGAGCTACGTTATAATACTCTTAACACTAAGTTAATAACTATTATTAAGGCTTTTAGGTTATAAAGGCTATACTTAGTATATATATAAAGTTTAGTATTAGTTTTAATAAATTACCTAAACTACGATTACCTTTTTATAAAGCTAAAGTTATTATAGTAGTAAGCTAGATAGCTAAAAGAACTTTCTGTCTTTAACTTTAAGATTAAATATAAGAAGAGTAACTAAAACTCTACTAATAGGTTATTATAATAGCCTGACTTATAAGATCTTAATAAGTAATTAAAGGTATAACAAGCTCTTTTAGTAACTTTTCTTAATAAATTCTAAGTAAATATAGTTACCTTAAAAGCTATTAGTCTTACTATAAGGCTTATTTAAAATAAAGCTTTTATTTCTTTTATTTTTTTAATTTCTTTTATTCTTTTAATTCTTTTTATTCTTTTTAAAGGTTTAGTAACCTCTTTAACGTATACTATCTTAGTAAGACTACTCTAGCGTAAGAGGATAGACTTACGCTAGCTAGTAGACTAAGGTAATTATAAGTCTTAAAGACCTTATACTTTTATTACTAAAGTATTAAGTCGTAAATTAAACACTCTTATACTAGTAGAGAACTTTACTTAGAGTTAGGCTAGTAAGAGTAATAGCTAAGTAATAGTAACGTTAACGTTACTACTATTACTATTAAAAGCCCTTTATAATATATAGTAAAAGGACGCCTTTATTACTAATAAAGAGTAAAAAAAGTAGTAAAGTAGCTAAGGTACTACTAGGTCCTTATAGACGTTTAAGAATAATATACTACTATAGTATTATAAATGTATATATATACCTAATAATCTAGGCTTATATAAAGAGTTACTAAAGCTTTTTTATAACGTACTTACTATAAGGTACTAAAGAGTTAGTAAAACAAAGAAAAGGCTTTTCTAATCCTTCTTTTAGCTAAGTCTTAATAAAGACATCTACTATTACGTTTTTACTTATACTATTTATTAAAGAATAAAGGTAAAGACTTATCTACTATATAGTAAGTTAGCCTTACTCTTTATTCTTTCTAAACCTTAGTAAGAGATCTTACTTAACTTTATTACGTAGCTACCTTACTCTTATAATGTAGTAAGTAAACTATATAACTTAATACTTATTATTATAGACTAATTTATAAAATTTGCCTTATATATTCTAATAACTAATTATCTTACTAGTAATAAACTAGCGTCTTTCTTAATATACTACGTTATATAATAATTTAGAATTCTAGATAGTATTGTCTTAGACTAAGGCTCTTTCTTTATAAGTAAATTCTAGAGTAGTTTTTACTAGTACTTAGTAATATTATAGTAACTTAGTACTACTTATTACTTATAAATAGATAAGTAAACAGAATAGTAGAACTAAGCTATTAAGTATTACCTTTAAACTTACTATAGCTTTATATAAGATAACTAAATAACTAAGCTAGATCTTACTAAATTTATATATAATACCTTATAGTACTTTATAATAAATGTAATACTATTATATATACTATATAAGTACTAGCCGTAAGGTCTTAAAGACATACCTCTAAACTAGTTAAAGCTAGTAAAAGTACTAGTAGCTAATATATAAGTAGAGTAGCTATAAAGTAGCTATAAAGAAATTATTATATTCCTTTAGTATTCTTAAAAATAGTATAAGAAATAGTATAACTAGAACTAAAAAAAGATTTTATTTAAAAAGAAAGACTAAGTACTCTTATTAATAAAATACCTAAAGTAACGTTAACCTTTTAAGAAATTTATAGATAAGTATATTAGCTCTTACTAAATTAAAGACGTTATTAAAGACTATAGACTTACTTATAGACTATACCTTTCTTTATTAGTATAGCTATATCTTACTTTTTTAATTATAAGTCTAGAACCTTATAAAGTATAAGAAAGTAAAGTCTTTATAAGCCTAATAAACATTTTAGTCTTAGATAAAGAAATATTTAAAGTAAAAGCTATTCTTAGCTATAAAGGCTTATAAAAAAATAGATTCTATCTTATAAAATAAAAAAGGTATAACGATTTAGAAAACTTATAAGAACTATAATAAAACCTTAATAATAGTCTATTACTACGTAAATATAAGTAAATATATTAAGATTACTAATAGAAAAGTATATTAGTACTAACGTCCTTATAGTAAAGTAAGTATAACTCTTATATTTATAGTATTAATACCTAAAACCCTAGGTATCTAAAAAAAAAACTACTAAAAACATTTATCTAGTATCTTATCTATTAAAGTCCTTATAAGCCTTTATTAATATTATTATTATCTAGCCTAAAGAAAAAAAAAAAAATAATAAAAGAAAAGAAAAGAAGCCTAAAGTACTATCTTAGCTATTAACCTCTTTATAAAGTACTATTAACCTTATTATTATATAGCCTAATAAAAGAAAGGATTTAAGGTATAATTCTACTAAGTAAATAAGCTTTAACCTACGTTTAACTATTATTTATTCTTAATGTTATTATTATTATTATCTTTTTTACTATTATTTTCTTTACTATTACTATCTTTAGTAGTATCTTTTAGTTCTTTACTACTCTTTAATTATTATAGATTATAAGCGTACTACTTTTAAATTAGTAATAACTTTACTTTAAGAAAGGAATACTTATAACTTTCTTAAAATACGTTATATACTTTTTAAATATAGTAATATAGTTATATTATACTTATAATACGTCTTTAGTAATCTAGTTTCTTTAATCTACTTTTATATTTACTACTATTATAACTTTGTTTTAAATCTCTAGCTACTTAGTAATTTTAGCTAGATATACTAACTTTTTCTTTATCTTTTCTTCTTTCTTTACCTTATTACTTTAAACTTACTTCTTTACTAATATTATAGACTAAGACTTTAAATACTAGAAGCTCTTCTTTACTAAAGTTTAGACGCCTTAAATTATAGCCTATACGTATTAGCTTTAACTTCTTTATAAATAATAGACTAACTTACTTTATTCTTTTTTATAATTATCTTCTAAAGTTTAATCTCTTTAGCTTAAAGGGTTATAACGACTTAGTAACGTTAATAAAGCTATAACGTAAAAGCGTCGTCTTAAGAGAGGTTATACTTATAAAAATATACTCTTTCTTTAAATTCTTATAATATACGTACTTTACTAATATAGCTACTATACTATTAGGTTATTACTCTTTACTAAAAAAGAATACTTATAGTTATTATCTTTATACTTTAAGGTACTACCTTATAGGTCTTATAAAGCTATTTAGTTAAGGTATTACTTATAAGCTACTAAACGCTTTGTTAGTACTATATTATTATTACTACTTTAATTAAGGTTTATTAAAAGTTTGTTAAAAGAGTTATAAAAGAGAGAAGGTATAGTAGTGTTATATTTATATAAGGTAAAACAAAGAAAAAGAGATAATAAACTAGTAAAAACAAGTCTTTATATACCTCTTAGTACTATAAGAAAGAGACTAAGTAAAGAAAGATAAAGAAGGTGTTTTTCTATATTTACTTAAAAAATACGATTATAAGTAATATAGTTTAATCTTTATAGCTACTTACTATTAGTATACTATCGACCTTCTAGTAAGAGGTAATAAAGGATTTTTAAAAGTAGTAAAGAGTAAGGAATACTAGTGTACCTAAGTAATATAGTTAGTACTACGTATTAAAGGTCTTATAACTACTTAGCGACTTACTAGTACTTTACTATAAGGTATCTTAGCTAAAAGTAAATATAAGAGGTATAAGGTAAAGATCTAAAAGTATAATATATAATAAAAATCTTATAGTTTAGCTACGTACCTTTACTATACTATAAAGTTACTACTACTCTCTTTTTTCTAATACTACTAGTTATATAAATATATATTTATTTACTAATTTATTCCTTTATTTTAGAGAAAGGGTATTTAAAGGCTATATCTAGGCCTAACGTAGCCTCTTTATAATCTAATAGCTACTTATAAGCTTTTAAGGACAAAAGCTAAAAAAAGAGGATACTATATTAGGTATACTAATATATAAGACTATAATAGCTTAGAAATTAAGTATAGAGTAACTATATACTATAACTAAGGTAATAGTAGGCGTTAAGGAGTATAAGAATAAAAGAGAGAGAGGGAAAAGAAAAGGGGTTTAGAGATTAGTCTATAGTTAAAGTAGTAATATACCTTTAAATATACTACGACTGTCTATCGACTCTTACCTCTTCTATTATATAGAAATACACCTAACAACTTGTTACTAAGTATAAGTTAAGATACTTTATTTAAGTTAAGTACAAAGCTTTTATCTAAAGAGATAACTAACAGACTTATATAGACCTTTATTACTAGATAAACTTGTTAGATCTTAAGTAGGTCTAGGACCTTTTATCTAATCCTATAGTCTATTACGTAACTATCTTGTAATATTTACTCTAGGTTCTTTGTACAACAGTAGTCGCCAAGCCTTAGGCCTAGAACTCACGTGTTTATGTGTTTGTAACATAATGTGTATACTAAAGAGAAAGGGTGTAAAAACTAGCTGTAAAGACATGTAAAGGAATTTAAACCTGATTATAAATCTGTTAGAAAGCAAAAGAATAGAATATATGTTTAGAATCACAGGCAAGGTTAATTGTCGACAAGAACTAGAGTAGAAACTCAGAGGAGAGGTTAAGCAGCGTACAGGCGCTCCTGCTTGATTAAGCGCTAGGAAGGAGACTTTGTCTAAGGGATCGAGCTTCGTAACGCTGTGATGCCCTAACTACCCTACAAAATAGTACAAATCTAGTCAATCAGAAGTACAAAAATACCATCATCGCCTATAGAGGCTATGGTACACCACTGAACCATTGATCCTGTAACAACTGCCTCGCAGTTGGACGATCCCTCGGGTCTAACTTCATGACCTTCAACAGAAACTCCCTGTCCTCCTCTGTTAGACAGTCATCCTCAATTAGTTTAAACGGCCTTTGCTTCTGGTTGTCCTTGATGTATTGGGTGGCTGATGCTAGAATTGACCATCTGTCACCATCCTCTCTCGGAATGAGATCTATATAAGACTTGGGAACAGGACCAAAGTGAGCTAATTGTCTTATGATGATGTGGATCAGATACTCTTCATCGTCAGCTGTGGCGTCTTTGGGGTCGGGCTTAAACATGTGCCAGTTGAGACCCCAAATGAGACTTATAAGCTATGAAAACGTGAGCGCAATTCAGACAATGCAGTCTCAAGCCTGCTTAGTATCACCTACCGTCGTGCCAAATGACCAAATGTCAGTCGACTGTCCCCATCTGAGCTGCATCATGGCCTCAGGGCTTCTAAAGATAGCAGCTCCCATATGCGGTCCATCCATCCCGACCTTGAGGTAATTCTTAGGATCTATCCGAGTAACATCACCGAAATCAGCCAGTTGAACATCGGCAAAGCGAGATGATCCAGTGCCATAATTGACGAGAATGTTGTCCGGTTTGATGTCTGTGAGTATATGTGTTAGTTAGAGTGTTGAGATCTGAAATGAGGTGGCATGTAAGACCTCAGTGAACATACCAGTATGTGTGTACCCATCTTCATGCAAAGCCTGAATTGCTTGGAGTACTCTTTTTGCTACAAACTTTACATCCGAACTTTCTAGAGTCTTCACGCTTGATGCATGTAGTAGATTATCGTCCAAGTGTTGCAGAATCAAAGACGGGGGATTTTTGGTTTCGTCTAGCACCTGGCGAATGTAGGGGCAAGTGCGGAAATGCTTCAGAACATCCCGCTCGTTTTCGAGGCGTCCTTGCGGAGCTGTCTTGATGATAACTTTTCCAGCTTGAGAGTTGCTTTTCCTGGCAGTAATTAGATAGGTGAAGGTTGAGTTGGGTGAAGTTGATCTCACGTGGCAGTCCAGATGTCTTTCGCGACCTGCGCAGAGACAAAATAACTTCCGACTTTTCCTTCGAGCCGTTGGCCAATTTTGATACTAGCAGCCATTATTGAACTATCTCTCTTGCGTTGGAAGGAATGGCCAAAAGCTTGGACAGTAACCGGCAGCAGAAAAATGATGGAAGAAGGGACAATGGTTGACGATAGTTGACGGTGAGAGCGAGGGCGTGATGAAGGACTCCTAGATTCAATCTTATACTGCGTCGCACTGGCCTTTTGATACGGCCAATCATATGCCTTATGTAGAGACTGATCACGTGTCTAAACACCCTTACTCTTTGGGCTTCCGTCTAACGGTGATTATAGTGAGGGCGATCACAAAAGCGCTGGGGACCCGAAAGACCACATCACTGCTGTCGCATATGATGCAGATGGCAATAGGATCGAAACCATCCATCTTGATACCCCTAAGAAGAAGTAAGCACAGCCTACACTCGCTGGGCTGTTTAGCGGATTTGCCGGCAAATGTAGCTTCTGGGTGGACATGAAAAGGAGGCGCAAATGTATTGTGGATATATCTGGCATTGCCGCATTTGGACTTGGTTGGGCGCAAGATAGCCACCCTTACTTGGATATTCAGAATTGACATCGATTCTCTGTTCCTCAAACTTGCTTGCCATGAACAGTGAGAATAAACTTATTCGGCGGCCTAGCACAAGTGTTGCCCGAGGAAAACTCTCCTAGCAACGTCTGCCACGCTTTAAAGGATCCTGCATACCAAGTGATTCACACGATTGAGAATTGCAAATTCGGACCAGACAAGCTGTCAAACCGAGCCCCGTCCATCCATCCTTGAAGATAACACTCCCCAACCAGAGAATGATCTGCCGATAGTGGAGCACGGCGAAGTAGCAACGGGACTCGAACTGTCTCCAAGATAGCAATCTCGTCTCCTACTTGAGCATCGCTAGGCACTAAACCTAAGAAGCAGTGCTCTGTGATTGCAATTCTTCTACCCACGCAAGCAGCATCCATAAGCCTGGCGAACTCCAAACACCTACTATTCACAATGCTCATCTCCGCAACTGGTTTCCAAACCTGTGATTTAGGACCTTTATTGGATATGCCCATGTTGCGCTCGACTAAGTTCTGATGCGCTTCGTAGAGCTGCTGCCGAGTGCGGTCCGAATCCTCCCCACGGGCCCCGCCATCAGCGACTAACGTTCTCCAAAATATGGTGGGATAGGTTTCGCCAGTGGTGTATGGGGAGATTTTGCGAGCATATTGTTCCCACTCTGAAAGGACTTGGTACTGATCATAGATATTTGCTTGATCCCGCATCACAGATCCCACTTGCTGAATCTTGTCAACAAATTTACCGTTCGCAAAAAGTGTGCGCTTGTCGTTCGACAGATGGAAACTGGATGCTGATGATTTCTTTCCCGCTGCGGAGTAGCCCTCCCAGTATTTGAGAGCGAGACTCTCCCTAAACGCTGATATGACTGTCCAGTCTGGGACCCAGGAAGGCATCCCCGAGAGTAGCTTGGGATGTCGAACTTGGCAAACCACTTCTAGAGACTTGTACTTTTTCATACAGAAAGTCGTAGTCGCAAGATATACTTCCTGACATAGGAGAGAATATTCAGGAATAAATTCCCCGGGTGTTATATCCGAAGCTAGCCCAAGAACCCCGTAAATCTTATCCCTCGGATCTGTGCATAGAAGGTTGAAAGACTGATGAATCAGGTTTATCAAGGACCGATGTCCTGGATAGTCGGTGACATTCTTTCTCTTCAGCCCCTTGATCATTCTCACAACACGATGGGCCTCAACCTGATGGCCAGTGTCCTCTTCCAAGCACAAAGCTGCTTTCGCCAGGTCGTTCCAGGGGACAGAGAAAGACCCACAATACACCACACACTTCTGCCCTAGGGCCACTTCCTGAACAATCCACATTCTACGAAAGTAGGGACGCTCAAAAATCGAACGAAGGGCAGTCCAGCATGGCGATTTGATGGCTAAGAGACTCAAAGCCTGTATCACATGTGCTACCTCGTCCCCAGTCTCATCTCTCTGACCTAGGTCGGAGAAAGATTGAAGAAGGTCTGGAATATAATCCATAGCCATACTCGTCTCTGAATCTTCCTCCCCCAACCAAATATCAACAATACTTGCACCTGTGTAGACACCGCCCATGAGACTGACTTGTTGACCTCGCTCAATCTTATCATCCTGATTGATGCATATCTGGTCAATCCACAGAGTTCGAATCGTGTCCGTCCTCCGTAGTCGCGACAGGGCCTGGACAAGGTTCAGTGTGAGGGGTAGTGAGCCACTTTCGCAGTGCAAGAAAGCAGCCGTCTCAAGTGAACCCCATGTGTAGGAAAGGGCCTCGTAGAATTCTGGGATATCTAAGCAACTAGGGCGGAGCGTTCCCCGAAATGGTGAGTTGAGCTCTCCAGGATACAGATCAAGAAGGCGAATAGAGCGCTCTGCGAGCTTGTTATACGGAACGGACATGATTGGAGGCCTTTGTCGAGTGTAGGCTATGTCATGGAGGTATGATTTCAATTTGGCGTGTCTGACATTGCCCCTAGGTGCTGAAGATTAATATTCATTCCTTCTAGAGTATGATTGCGGCTGATGAGGCTCATGCTTCCTACGAGTTAAATAGGTACCTAGGTGAGGTAAAGTAGGCAAGTAGACGGGAAGTGGGGCGTTGCATTTAGCCTAGGTACCCCTCGCGGTACCTCACCGAGCCCACCTTACATGACCTGATAACTAAACAACCTCCTGCCAACAGTATCAACACACCAGCAAACAATAAACATTCGCTCTTACCGTCAGTCTAAAATCAAATTATTACTGCTCAACTTCTTCTGCCTTACTATCGATAAGCAAGCCACAGCACGCCTCAAAATCTTTGCATTTAGCGTTATCCAATTTCCCCCGTTACAATCAGCTGTCAGTAGCATCTGTTGATACTACTAGCACTCTAAGGTACGTACCGACTTCATGAACCACATAGATGTTCCTATGCTGATAATAAATTACAGATCATCTATACGCCATGAGACCCATGAAGGAGCCTGCCACCGCGGCGTGGGGTCTTCACATCAGCGACACCGACGCCGAGAAGCTCAAAGCTGGCTTTCAGCCCCTGGATCAGGATGACAAATGGCACATCTACGTCTCGACCACAGAACCGGCTACCTCCGTCCACATTGCTCGAAGTGCTTTCGGCGTGGAGACCTACGTAGTTCATATTGCGGAGAAGACAGGCGACGAAGGCAGTAGTGCGGAGATCGCATCCATCACCTGGGAGACGAACAAGGGTGGAATCCGCATCTCGGGGGAGCAGGCCAAGAAGGAGGTCGTGAACCTGACCAGAAGCATTCTGGAGTGCGATTATGAGACGCTTCCGTACTATGATCCCGTCGATGTGTGGAATTATCCTAAGGCTGTTTTAAGCAATAATATCAATGGGAATCACGCCAATGAGGAGCACTAATTGGCAGAAGTGGGCTGGATGATGGATCTTTCGGTCGTCTCTGCTTTTCGTCCTCGATCGAGGTGTGCGGCACGATACTGTTCAAACTTTATAGACACCATATGGTGGGGAGAAGTTGACCTGTTAAGCACGTAGCAACGGTTGATCTAGGCTCAGTGGTTCAACTTTAACAATCGGAGCTCTGGCGTGCTTCGGTTTGATTATCATGCCCTAACTATTCTTTATCCACCGCCAAGCTTGGTGAATGGGCAAAGCTTACTACTGCCCTCCCCTCTCCAGCCTTCCCGACAACCCAAACTCTCTCAGGGTCGAGTGGCGAGGCGTCCCTTTGGACTTGACCGATCACCCGCATAGGTACCTCTTGGACCCGGACGAAGTCATGCTGGCGAGCAACCTGCGGCTGGACTGTGCGACGTATCTCACATCGAAGCGCCGAATCATCAATCGCATCGGGTCCCTACGCATCGGCAAGGAGTTCCATAAGATGATAAGACGATGCCCAACAGGCTTGCAAGATCGATGCCAACAAGGCTAGCAAGTTGTGGCAGGCGTCTGAGAAGGTCGGGTGGCTCAATAATCCTTCATGGGCTGCGCAGTACCTCTGAGGGCATTATCCTGATAGTAGGATCTGCACTCATCACATTACGGAAATGGCATCCCGCATCGCCTCGCATACATGCAAAGAAGATACACTTCTTCTATGATGGCCTTTTTGGGGTACCAGGTCCTGTTGGGGATGTCTCCCTGCTTGACATTGGTAGCTTTTATTTGAACGCCGAGGGCATCCAAGCGCTACTCGACCACCGACTCTTCACTGGACTTCCGGGGGCCCCGGTCCGCTCGAGGAGGACTACATGTTCCTCAAAGACGACGACATTGTTCCACATGATATCGGCACTATCAAGCTGCTCTTGGCCGGTAATCCTAGTACTATTAATGTCTAGGACAAGCAAGGCGATACAGCCCTGCATTACGATGTTAGAAGCTACGCACCATGTGGCAGCAAGCATTCCGATATTCCCAAGATCTTGTTCGAAGATAGAGCAGACGCGGGTCTACAAGGTAGAAACAGGCAAACTCTGCTGCGTTGCTTGGGTTTCCGCGCACTAGGCGGCGAACCCATCGGCACGGCCCTGATAGCCCTACATCTGGCTCATGGTGCTAACGTGGGCGACGCTGATGCGGACGGCAACACGCCTCTCCATTTTGTAAGCGCCAAAAGTTCAAAAGGGAACACGCCGCTACATGAAGCAGCAGGTGGGCACATCTGGCTCCAGGAAAGAAGCTTAACACTAGATGATCGGATGAGAGCTCAGGAAGAGATGATGAGGGTACTGCTACAGTAGGCCGGAGGCAACGTCAATTTGATGGACCAACGGAACGCAGCCGGCAAGACACCACGACAGATGCATGAGGAGAGGAGGAACGAGTGGTGGAAAACCGAGGAATCCTAAAGAAACCAATAGGAAGATAGACAGGATATCTTCTGAATCTTTAAAGATAAGGTTGCATTAATAAATCAGATATAAGAGGGAGTTTTGATTTGACGACCCGATTCTTATATTGTTAAGAATGGCTTAGATGTTGTACAGTATCTTAAAACTTTTGCCTAAGGAAAAGTGCATGAACCATTTGATAAACTGGTATCTGATGACGACCGGCAAGCAATTTAAAACAATCTAATGCATTTAGATTTAAAGTAGTGTAAAAAGCGTCAAGAGGGCGTAACAATAACTTGGATTATGATTCTAAACAAATCTATAGCCTTTTTTGGCCGGGAATAAGTATTGTTAGACAAACACTTGATTTGAATCCACCTAAAGCTTGTTGTCTTTACCTTACAGCGTTAGAAGAGAAAGCCCAGGATCTAGAGATTTTAGAATTTTTGTACTTTAGAAATTGTGCTCTAGAATATGCTTTGCAAATTGCTTTACAGGGCTGGTGATAGTGTGACACACTGACACTTGTCCTGTAGTCAAGTAGAAGTATACTTCGGCCAGATGTAAGGTATATAAGGTGGTAACACGATAGCCAGTAACCGTACAGAGTAATGCATTATGCGCAGATACAAAGAAAAAATGCTATAGGTGTTCAACAAACAAAGCATTAACTAAGGTCACCTGACTGTAGAACCCGTGACAAAGAAGGCAGGTGATAAATGCCAGTAGCTACCTTACAACAGGATCTACACTTAAAGGTATACACAAATGAAACAGTCCCTGTATTATTACATCTATTTGATTGCCCTGACTTCCTTCTCATCCTCGCTAGTATCACATCGCCTCTGATGCTTGCGACATGAGATAGATGAGCAGGAAGAGAGAAGGGAAAGAGAGTAAAAAGGAAACGCCCCATTTGCCGTCCGGCGGAATTTCTTCGCATCTAGTATCACATGTTCCCTGATTTGCTTTGCCCCGTTGGCCCTTTCCATGCAAGTCCCTAAACTCATCGATCAACGCTCACTCCAGCAGGCTTTTGCTTTTTTTTATAATACAGTTCCGGGGTTCGCCCCGCCAAAACATCCTTTCTCTATCTCGTTTTCCTCGTGAATCCTCGAAGATTAGTCCACGCGTGGACTACATTACCCTTTGTCCCTTGTAGAGTCCGATATCAATTCGAATACACTGATGGGTGTCGAATGAGGTCAGGCAGCAATATGAATTATCCCATATCAACATCCCCATCTGCCATCGCAAGCCTCTGCTTTGCCGTCTTGGCTTTCTTGCCGCCTCCGCCGGATTTTCTTGGCTTCTTGCCCTTTGCGCCAGCTTCACCCGGGACAGGAGTCGCGGCTCCTGATGGTCGATTGCTGCCATCGTCGAAATGTCCTTCGCCTGCAGGTCATCCGTTAGCATTGTAACTGTCATGTAAGATAGATGATGCATACCTTCATGATACAAATCCTCTAAGCTCCCTCCACCGGCGCCACCATCCGCCTTCCTCTTCTTTCCTCTCCCTTTCTTGCCAGGCTTCTCCGGCTGACTCGCTTCCAGAGCCGCCATCTCCGCCTCCTTTCTCTCAATCTCAGCCGCTTCGTCATCATCCACCAACCACATGGCAATATCCTTGGTCCGATTCTCCTTACTTCGGGTGTTGAAGTCAACACCACCGCCTGCGCCACCAGTCATGACGACTTTCTGCACCTCTTCTTTCTGCAGTGCTCGTTTCCTGATTCGTTCTTCGATCGTCCCACGAGTGATCATACGGTACACGGTGACTTGTCTTGTTTGACCGAGGCGATGCGCACGATCCATGGCTTGGGAATCGATTGTTGGGTTCCAATCTGAATCGTAGAAGATGACGGTGTCAGCGGAGGTGAGGTTGATACCGAGACCACCCGCACGAGTACTGAGAAGGAAGATGAAGATCTCGGGCCGGGTTTGGAAATCGTGGACCGTGTCTCGACGGTCTTCGAGTTTGGTAGAACCGTCCAGACGAAGGTATTTGTAGTTTCGGTAGGTAAGATACTCCTCCATCAAATCGATCATCCTCGTCATCTGGAAGTACAACAGAACACGGTGGCCGCCTTCCTTGAGTTTGAAAAGGAGCTCGTCCAATTTGGCAAGCTTGCCAGAGTCGGTGACAAAACGGCGCATGGAAGGTACACGAATATTGGTGAAGCGCTGCTTCTCCGAGGTTGGTGTTGGCAGCATCTTAGTCGGCGGGTAGAGCGACGGAGGTATCTTGGATGTAATGAGAGCCTTCTCCTCAACAGGGGACGGCCCATATAGGGCTCTGCGCACTGAAACGTTGAACATGATGTTCTCCTTCTCGATTACGGCACCGCGGCTGGAGCAGACGACCTCGATGGGTGGAGCAGAAGCAGCTGGTCGACCGCATTGTTCTAGTCGACCCAGACCAGACTCCGACCAGACATCGTTAGAAACGTTGAAAAGCTTGTTCAGGTACCCTTCACTAGTGACTTCCGCCAATGGTTTGGGATCTTGGCGATCCACGATCCGAAGCATGGCTGGAGCTGGAGTGAAATCCTTCTCGCCTTCCTCATCGTATATAACGCTGAGCATTCCCAGTCGACGAGGCTTTTGGGCAAGATCTACAGCCCGCCCAAAGACGTCCTTCCGGGAGGCGTTCGCCACCTCTTCCACAGAAGAGTCTGCAAATCGGAGCCATGAGAAATTCCCCTTCTCATGTGCTTGCTGTCGGATATTTTCAGGCTTCCAAACATTCAGCAGCTGATCAAGGTACTTGCCCTTGAAGCCAGCCTTCTCATTGTCTGGTCCTGGCAAATCAAGCCGGCCACCTTCACGCCAGATCAATCGTGGTAAGCGGTACTCAATCATGTTTCGGGTCGAGTAGACGAGATTGACATTGGTTCCCTCTCGCATGAAGGATGCAGTCTCGGCGAAATAGCCGAAGGAGAGCGGCGAGGTCGTCTCGGCCCGTTCGAAGAGATCAGGGTGGTTGCAAACCTTTCGGAACTGCATCACCAAGTTCATCAACGTACCAGTATCATTATCATCGCCAACTGTTGCTTTTTCTATGAGGTCCATGATGCTAATCTGGTTGCGAAGGTTTCCATAGTATGCGCGTTGACGGTAGGTGAGGTCGCAGAAGACATCCAATTCGATCTTGTCACCAAGCTCTTTCTGAACATGCTTTTTGACACGGCGAAGCATGAATGGTTTCAGGATCATGTGCAATCGTTTGAGCTGATCCTCGTTGAGCTTGGTGTTACTTTGAGCGTGACTCTCGATGTCCTTGGAGAACCATTCACTGAACTCGTCATGGGAATCGAACAAGCTAGGCATAATGAAATGCAAAAGAGCCCATAATTCTTGCATATTGTTCTGGATCGGTGTACCGGTCAGCAACAGACGGTTACGGCAATGGAAGCCGAGAAGACTCTTCCATCTCGAGCTTTGAGAGCTCTTGATAGCTTGAGCCTCGTCCAATATCATGTATTGCCATCTCATCTTCTGGAAGTAATTGACGTCTGACACGACGAGCTGGTATGAGGTGACGAGAACGTGGAAAGGAGCATCTTGCGTATAGGTGATGTGCTTGCGGTCCCAGAATTTTCGCAACACCTTTCGGTCACCAGCTGTACCCCAGTAGGGCAAGACCTTGAGCATGGGCACGAACTTGGTGATCTCCTGCTGCCAATTGTGGAGGGTAGAAGCTGGCGCAACGACCAAGAAGGGGCCCCAGATACCGTGCTTCTCCGCGAGGTAGGCCATGACCGAGATCGACTGAACCGTCTTACCCAGACCCATCTCATCGGCCAAGATACCGTTGATACCCTGTTCGTAGAGATTGACCAGCCAATTAAGACCCTTCAGTTGGTATTCCTTAAGCTGGGCTTGAAGCATCTTAGGCTGCTCAATATCAACATCACCCATGCCAGCCGGGTTCTGGAAGTTCATTTCGCCTTCCTCATCCAGAGCTGGCCCTTCGTCCTGTTTGTTGAATGCTCTGGCTTTGTTCTGTGCTTCCTGAATAGCGTGCTGAGCATTGGCCATAGCTGCAGCCTGGAGAGCGGAATCATCCTCTGCATCAAAGTCAAGATTTTCGAAATTCGTGACCTTCCCAGAAGTGGTGACAGTTCCATCGGGTAATGTGATGGTGTGCGAGGCTCCCGAATCATGGCTATCCGGAACGGCAACATCGGGGTGATTTGTAGAACGTTCGACCTCGTCTGTCTTGATCTTCTTGCCGATGAAATGCGAATACAGCTCGGTCTGAGAAATCAAGAAGTTGAGTTTCCTCTTCTGCCTGTTGGCTTCTCGGTCAGCCTCCGCCTTCTTAGCATTCTCGATTTCCTGCTTCTCGGCCGCCCGGCGGAGGTCACGTTCCTCTCGCTCGTTGCGTTTCCAGAAGGACATCATTTCTCGCATGACACGCTTCGCTCTGGCTTGAAGATCTTTGGTTCCCTTATTGGTGCGGAGCTGCCACCGTTTGGCTTCTTTTGATGCTAATATGGCTGTCTTCTTCAAGTTCGATAGTTTGATGCTGAACGAGTCCGTAGCAATCTTGTACACCTTGCTGACATCCTTCCGGGCCAGATCGCGCCAGATCTGATCGTAGATCTGGTTGTATCCCTTAGACACGAAGGGTTCGAAGCTCGCGGGAGAATCCTCGCGCGCCTCCTTTGGCTCCTTGGCGTTCAACTTAATCCTGATCTTGGGCTCCTCCTTGGCCGGTGTTGGAAGTGCGGGAGGTTGCTCCCCAGCGTCAATGGCAGCTTGCGCGGCTTCTGCAGCGTCCTTCTCGGCTTGTTTCTGCTCCTTCGATTTCCGCAAGCGACCACCACCGCCACCGCGTTTGGGTTTCGGCTTGGGCTCGGGCTCGACTGCCGTGAAGGTGGTCATCATGCCTCCAGCGAAATTGGGCTCGATGGGGGAAACTGCTCTGATCTCGGGTCCCTTTTCGCCGCGTGCAAGTATAATCTTCGTCTGCTGGGCCTTCTTCTCGGCTCTCTGCGCCTCCCGGATGAACTTCTGCCTCTCCTGCTCATCCTCGGCCGCTTGTGCCTTGGCCATGGCAATCTCCTTCTGTTCGATGTTCGTGGCAACGGTCTTCTCCCGGCGACGTTTGCGCTGCATATCCTTCTTGCGTTCCTTCTCTGCTTGGACCTCCTTCTCTTGGACGGCAGTCACGGCGGCATCTTGGTGGATGGCTCTATAGCGTTCCTCGCCGAAGTGAGCATGATGACCGAGTTTGGTAGCCATCTTCTCGGCAAAGAGCGTTCGCCGTTGCTTGGATCTGCCCATCTCGATAGTTTCAAGATCAAGCTTCCGCTTTAGAGATCGTGCCTGGTAGATTTTCAGGTCGTCCTCAAAATCAGTCATGTCGTCATCACTAGCCTCTGCTTCCAGCTGAGCCATCAGTTGCTGTATCTCTTTCTCCTGCTCCTTAGAGGGTTGCTTGGGTTTCGGAGAGCTCTTCGGCTTCGGGTCCCCATTCGCCTTCCTCTTCGCAGGTACGCGTGATACGGTGGGTGGCGGAGCGGGGGCGAGGGAGGACTGTCGAGAGCTGTCTCCGGAGATGGGTTCTATCTTGGGTGGCGCCGGTTTTGATTCTCGTGAGGGCTTTCGCGGTTTTGCAACGGCAGGAGTCGGGGTCAGTTGGGGAGCTGGCTCCGCATTGGAGAGGATACTAGAGAAGGCCATTGGGTCTGCTGGTCTGCTGGGTGTCTGGTGGTTGTGTACGTTAGACGCGTTGTTCGCAGATTGAATAGGTAAAGCACACACCGCTGCTGGAGCCGCAGGTTCCTGCTTGACCACTGGTCCTCCCACGCCAGCGCCGTTCTGTCGCGCAACGGGTGATGCCATCGAAGCCATCCTCGGTGATTGCGATTGTGATATGGAGGACGGGCGTTGGGGATGGGCGTGCGAAATGGGCGACTGTGGCGGGAAGTTCGCATTCACTGGAGACGTGTATGCACTATTGTAGAATTTCGGCGGTTCAGCAGGAGCCGCTGGGTAGGCATATGGTTCTCGACTCTGTGGCTGCGGATGATTGTTAGCAATGCCATCGCTCATGAAAAGGTGTCCGTAAAATCTTTCATCGCGCTCCTTACCTGCGGTGTATGCGCTCGAGGCTCGTGCCAGGAGGAGGTTTCCGGAGCTCTCCTCTCTCCCGAGTCCGAGGTTGGGTCGTAGTAATAATTGCTGGATGATTTTTCGCGTGGCGCGGATGGAAAATCATTCGAATACGCTGGGGGCGCGGCCAAGGAGCGTGGTGAAGCAGGCGGACCGGGAGGAATGTGCGAGGCCGCGGGAATGGGAAGAGGAGCCGGTGTTGGCGGATGGTATGGGCTGTTGAATTGTGGCCGTGGATGAGCACCGGAGCCGTTGGTTGGGGAGAAAGGCGGATGGAAATCGGGTTGTGTGGGAGAAGCAGCGCTGGTGTAGGGCCGTGTGGTGGTGGTGGTGGTGGCCGTGGTGGCCGTGGTGGTTGTCGTGGTGTTGCTCGCACTGGCGCCGTCCATCATCCTGTCTCGTCGCAGCCTTTCCTCATCGTCGTCTGCCGGCCGGTGCATCACGCCAGGGTGGTACATCGAGTCCATCACGGGGGGGGCGCGCCTCTCCAACTCACAGGGCGATGATTTGCACTGGGGGGTCACCGCTCCATATGAGGGTTTGGACGTCGCAAAGGGGGGGGGAGGCGGATTCGATTGCTGGAGGTGATGGGGGGATCACCGCGATCTCATTCACTGTGAGGGCGACGACAGCGGGAGTGGCGGTTTTGGTATTTGGGGACAGATGATAGATGGAGATGTGATGGTGATGGGGGGTGGGTGTTGATAGATGGTGGATGGGGAAAAGGAAGAAAAGGAAGATGGAAATCTATGAGGGGGGAAAGAGTCGGGTGAACTGGCAAGAATCCGGAGTGGTCAGGTAGGAAGGTTGTTGGTTCGTACTAAGCAAGTCTCACGGCGAAGAGCGTGTTGGGGAGGTTTGCCTCGTTTGGACCGTCGCGAGCGCGTCGATGGGGGGAGGGAATTTATTATTATGATTACGGGCGCACGAGAACAACGCTGTGGCAGGGGGGGAGATGGGAATAGTTGATGATGATGCTGATGATGATGATGATGCGAATGAGGAGGAGAATAATGATGATAAAGGAGAATGGGAATAAAGGGAATGCCAGTGCTGGTTCTTGATTAAAGACTGATGATGCCCATGATCCTGATGCGAATATGGGGCAGGGCTTTTCTCAGGTAAAATCAGACCTATTACGACTCTGTATTATTGCGTTTTTACTCGAAATAAATAACCATAATTGCCCTTTCTCCCTTCTCCCTTCTCCCCTTCTCCCCTTCTCCCGCTTTGTTCGACTGAGATTCAATGATGACGATCTCACCGCCCGCCAGTGGACGGGGCAGTAAATGACCCCTGTATTTTACGGAGGGATTATACTGCGTGGATATACCTATATGGATATATACGCATTTATATGGGGTGAACGTTCGTTCTCAGGTTGGCTGTACCTGATATGTGAGGTGTGCATGTGGCTACCTTGGTATGTGCCTTTTCCCTTTTCCTGTTACGGACCTCTGCTTCTCCCAGCCAGTTCTTCATGAATGCAAGATTCAACAGTCGGATGCCGCTGTCTGTCCTGCTGTCTGTCCATGATCAGACTCAGAATCAGAATCCGAATCATCTCTGTTGTGAGAACTGATCTGAGAACTGATCTCAGCTCTTCCCGCCTCCTGCGCCTTACTGAGGCTGGTAGCACACCAGTCCAGAGACGGCTAGCTCTCTCGCCTCGGCCTGCCGTCCCTCGCGGCCGTGTGGTGCATTCCGATTCCCCCTTCGTCGCATCAGACACGACACGACTCGGCTGGGAAAAGGGTCTCCTGTCATTGAAAGGCGCACATCACAAAGAAATCAGCCATCGAGAATCGTGGGTCCTGAGTGCTGTGTTCGCCATCTGACGGTTTCAGGAGCCTTGGAACTCTGCGGCCCGTGGATTCGGGAGAGAGTTGGCGGGAAGTTACGGAACGGGGGCTGCTTAAATGCTTCTTTCTACATATCCCGCAAACCCCAATCTCTTTCATCGATATCTGCATCATCTTCATTTCCACCGGCATCTGCCATTGTTGGCCTGAGGCACCTCCAGGGCAGTCACGGGGTCCTTGGAGGCTCTTATCATGTGATATTGGTCACGTGCTAAGCGGTGCTTCCTGCCCACGCCAGCCTCACCTCTCCTCTTGGTCTCCCATGATACCCAAGAAGCTTTTATCCCACCTTGGAAAATCAGGCAAGTACGTGGGCAGGTAACATGTTTCTTTCCATTCTTACTCTCAATCACAACGTCTGTATTTCTTCTCTTTCTCCATCTCCCTCTCTATCTCTACATCTCCTATCTCCCTTCCTCCCAGCTCCCAGCTCCCATCTCTACTGTTCATTTAAATCTCTCCTCCCTTCTACCTTCTCCCTGACCCTAGCTATACATCTTGGTATATATCTTTATTCCCAGTCATGGCGGCACCGGCCCCAGCCCCAGCCCCGGCCCCGGCCTTGAACTCTCAAGACGTTATCAACAATTTTTGGAAGGCCAGTCTTGGAAATGGAAGCACCATTATTAAACGTAAGCGTCCGTCCATGCACAGCACGCCATTACAGTTAATACTGACAATGGACAGCGCCCTCCGTCCTTCCTGCCAACCTCTACACCCAGATGGTTCGGAAACACGCCCCCAAGGGTATTGCAAGGGGGCGATGCATCACCGAATCCTACCATGCCGCAGTCAAAGAATGTGAAGCCAGAGTCGCAAAAATCGTGGCTGACTGTACAAGGACTAATACCAAATACAACGACCCCCATTTCGACCTCGACGATATGGATTACTGCTTGGTCCCGTTGACCGCCGCACCGGCCTCATCTGGACCACTCCATGAGAAAGAGGACCATGCCATTCTACAACCCGATGCGCTGAAGGGAATAGGGACAGCGAAGCAGGCCGTCTCGGGCAATGCCCAGCATAACCAACCAGGCCAGTCGGCATCCGCGGCCTGTAGACCAGCCTGCGCCAGACGAGTGGGATGCATCTTCGACAATCCGCAGTTTTATGTGACCCAAGACGCATATGGTAGAGATATCTGCCAGGGAGCAGAAGGCGACTGCTGCTTTATCTCCTCCCTGAGATCTCTATGCGTCGATGCCGAAATCCCTCACCTGATCGCGAAGATATGCCCCCCCTCATGCCGCGATGAGACGATTGGTGTCTATGGCTTTGTATTCAGTCGTGACGGGGAATGGGTATGTGAAATAATTGATGACAAGCTGTATATGAATGTGGCCGACTATGATAGTTATCCCGATGGGAGAAGAGCAGCTTGGGATGCCTCTCACTCAGAACTGGACCCCGAAGCGCGGAGAAAGCTCTGGAAGACAACTTTCCAAAGAAATTCGGATGCGCTTTACTATGCTAGCTCTGTTCATCCACAGGAAACTTGGGTTCCCTTAATTGAAAAGGCCTTTGCCAAAGCTCATGGCGGCTTCGAGGCTATTGATGGCGGCTGGCCGGGGTGAGTTTCGTTCTAGGTTCTTGGATACTACTGCTAACTTCGATCCAGTGAGGGTATAGAAGACCTCACGGGCGGCATAACAACAGTAATTGCCTCCGCTGACGTTCTTGACCGAGACCAGCTATGGAATGAAGGCTTCCTTGACGTGAACAAGGAGTTCCTCTTCGGAGCCAGTGCCAGTCCCAGGGAACTAGGCCGACACGGTATCGAGGATGACCATACATACTCCATTCTTCGAGCTGTAGAGTATGGAGGTGAACGTCTCCTCATGGTTAGGAACCCTTGGGGCCAGAGAGAATGGAAGGGACCCTGGAGCGACGGATCCAAGGAGTGGACAGCGAAAGCCCTTCAAGATCTTGATTACAAATTCGGGAAGGGGGGCATATTTTGGATGCCATATGAGGACTTCCTCGGGCGTTTCGTCCAAATTTGGCACACGCGACTCTTTACTCCAGAATGGAATGTTTCCCAGCGTTGGACGACAATCCAGGTCCCCTGGTCTGGTGCCTACAACCCCACAAGATTCGAGTTCACCCTGATCGCCCCCGCCCGAACCATGGTCGTCCTCTCCCAACTCGATTCCCGCTACTTTGGCGGTCTGACCGGGCAATACAGTTACAAAGTAGCGTTTAGTCTCCACTCATGCGGCGAAACTAGCTATATGATCCGCGGCCATCCATCCGGTGATCGCTCTGCTGTTGCGGAAGTCGATCTCGAGCCAGGAACGTACGAGGTGCGGATACAGGTACAGGGGCGTAGGGATAAGACACAACCGAAGATCGAGGACGTCATCGAGCAGAATTGGCTCTCCAGACGTGATAAACTCATCCACATAGGTCTTTCATACGACCTTGCTCACGCCAAAGGCCAACCCAAAACCAAGGGCGTTGGAGCAGCTATCAACGAGGCCGTCTCTGCTGCTGTCCAAGACCCCAACCCATCTACTGACCCATACACAGTGACGGATGCAGGTCTTGAAAGTGTCCTCCCCACTCCAGGAGATCCAGAAAACAGCCCCGCAACCGACCCTACGGCTTCCGCCCCCACCATCTCGGATGATACCTGGAACGCACCGCTTGTGATAGGATTGCGTGTATTCTGCCTTAACACGAAAGCGACGATCAAGCTCGTTGACCCGAAGCAGAAACGGCCTATCATCTGGATGAAACGGACCTGGAGGACGAGGATGAAGAAGAGATGTGCTGATAAAGCGGGGCGGAACGAAAGAGCTGAAGTGGATGATAGTGAGTGAAGCAGATTGTCTCTGGAAGATGGGGAGGGAGAGAGGGGATAGCATAGCAACCCGCTTAGGTAGGAGATAGGAATCGGAGGTGCACTACTTGATAATACCCCCTATTATGACTTACACGAGCCATGCATATTATGTGGCAGTATCGACATACATGATCACCGGTATCAGAACATCACCTTCCCAGGGTACACAACGCGACTCATCATTTATCATCAGATGAAATCAACATTCAATTACGCCTCTAAAGCACAAGCATTCTAGAATATTCCCCACGTACGGTAGGGTAAGATGAGTTAGGGGATAGGTAGGGAACAGCAGCAACCGAATGAATATCCATCCACCACGAGGGACGATCCCCGCACGCACACACGCACTGCCATGACATGAACATGAACAAGTCCTCGACTATTTCAATCGAAGACAAAACAAAGACACCTGGCACTACGGCACGTCGCGCCCTGTTGTTGTTGTTGCTGCTGCTGCTGCTGCTGCGTTGAATAACATGAACTGATTGATTGATTGATTGATTTGACTTTGACTTTGAAAGGGACTCGCGATTTCGTCTCCAACGTGAAAATGCAATAGACAACTTTTTCCTCATTCGTTTTCGTCCATCTATGATCCGTTCCTCCTTTTTTTTTCGAGACGAGGGGATTAGACGGCGCCAGCGGAAACCATCTTCTTCCGGAGGTGGTTCTTGTACTCGCCGATTGTTCCGGGCCAGCGACGGATGGTCTGGTTCTCGCAGACCATGATGTCCTTGGCGATCTTGTCGAGCAGCCTGGAGATGATGGGTCAGTATGGATAGGGAAAGAGGGGTTGCATGTAAGGGAGGAGACATACCTGAAGTCGTGGGACACTACAACAACACCTCCGGTGAATGCGTTGATGGCATCCGCCAAACTGTCAATGGTCGGGATATCCAAACCGTTGGTCGGCTCGTCGAGAAGCAGCATGTTCGGGCCATCGATAGCAAGGAGAGCGAACACGATTCTGCTCTTCTGTCCCTCGGAAAGAGTGCCCATGAGTGCGGTCTGCGCTTCACCAGACAGACCGTATTTACCAAGTTGCTGGCGCCAGTACTGGTAATCCTGACTCTTGTCCGCATACTTGTCTCTTACGAAATCCAGAGCGGACTTGGTAAGGTCAAGTTGCTCGGAGGAGTGTTGGGAGTAAACACCCATCTTAAGATGAGTGTGGCGGGACACTTGGCCGCTGGTGGGAGACAACTTGCCGGTCATCAGGCGGAGCAGGGTTGACTTGCCCACACCGTTGGGTCCGACCAAAGCGGTTCGCGAATCCATGTCAACACCGAGATCCAAGTGGCGGTATAGATCATCTTCAGGCTTGCCGCTGTAGGAGAATGTGACATCGTCGAATGACAGAACAGGAGGTGGGAGCTTCTCGACATCCGCGAAGCGGAAGGTGAAGACGCGATCTGGCTCGACCTTCTGGATGAAGCCGTCTGCCTCCATCTTGTCCAGAATCTTTTGTCTCGACTTTGCCTGTCTCACCAAGTTGGCGTAGGTACCAGCAGACGCGATGAACTTCTTGATGTGGACGATTTCATCCTGCTGCTTCTGGTAGGCCTTCATCTGGTTGGTCTCCTGCTCGGTGCGGGTCTTCGAGTAAGAGTCGTAGTTACCACCGTAGTAGGTGAGCTTGCGTTGACGCATGTCGATCATGTTCGTGCAGACACCGTTGAGAAAGTCCATACTGTGGGAGACAAGGACAAGGGTGCGGTCCCATTTCTTGAGGTATTCTTCCAGCCACACGCAAGCCTCGAGATCCAAATGTGCGGTGGGGTCGTCGAGGAGCAGGAGAGAGGGCTTGACGAAGAGGGCCTTGGCCAGGGCGACACGCATACGCCATCCTCCGGACATATCTTTGGTCTTCTTTTGGATGGTCTGCTTGTTGAATCCGAGACCGGTCAAGATGAGAGATGCACGGGTGGAGAAGGTAGAAGGATCCATCGTTTCCATACGCTGTGCATTGTTAGTTTTGTTTATGAGACCATGACATGGGAACGTACCTCGTATAGATCCATAAGCAGCGGCGACTCTGGGCCCTCTTCCTCCAGGATCTGTTCGGCTTGCTTGTCGAGTCTCTCCATCTCATTCTCGGCCTCTTTAACAACCCACTCCAAAGCACCAAGGTCGGTGGGAGGAGCGCCCTCGTTGAGCAAGTAGATATCAACGTGCTCTGGGATGGGATATTCGCGCTTGTCAATGGCCTTCAAGAGGGTGGACTTGCCACAACCGTTCTCTCCCAGAAGTCCATATCGGCGACCGTATGTCAGTTCGAGGGTGGTATCTGTGATGAGGACTCGGCCGTGGAACACCAAAGAGGCCGATGTGATCTTGACATCCCGACTTTGCTTGAGGGAGCTCAGCACACCGGTCGTCACACGGTCGGAGAGACCATGCTTGTCCATCTGATCAGCCAGTCTCTTCACCTCGTCCATACTCTTTGCGGAGGTCGCAGGCTGCTCATCAGGGGGGAGAGGGTTTCCATCGGCGTCGAGGAGAGGCTCGTCGCCGGCAGAGGAGGAGGCGCCAGATGCGGTCTTGGAACCAGCCTTCGATCGGGAGGCGACAGTCTTCTTGGTCTTGCCCTCAGCGGCTCTCTTGGCCTCGCGAGCAGCCTTGGAAGCAGAAACCATGTTGTCGGATAGGTCGAAGTGGGATGTGGTTGTCGGTGTAGGAGGGGGGATAAGTGGCGGGTTAGGAGGTGAGAAGGTTGAGTGAGGACGACTTCTTCAGTAGTCTCCTATCGTTGATGGTGGGGAGAAAAGTGTAGTGGGGGAATTTTCGGGCTGTGAATGGCCTGGGTGGCACTAAGACTAGGGCGGGGCACAGGAGGAAGCGCCAGGAGTTTGTAGAGACAATCGGGACAACTGTCGTGATGCGAAGATGCGGATGAAAGGTCGTGGTTCTAGGGAGAGAAGAGACCGACGATGAGATTTTCTCTGGGAGTTTTGAGGGAAAACCTTGGGAAGAATTCGAAGTCCACCGACAACTCTCCCTTCGCCGCCGTTTTCAAAGGTTCGAGTCGAATCTTCTCGCTTAATGAAAATCTGACGTACGATCACGTGCAGATCTGGCAAGCCCCTCCTCCACCACTTGGTCCCCGTCTGCGCGCGAACATAAGATGTATAGATATTGTATCTTCTGTCACTTCTAGAATGATTTGCTATGTCATATTGAGACTATAATTATTATTGGTCCAAAATCCAGACAGAGAGAGTATTCCGTAGGATCTGGAGGGTGCGGAGTATAGCAGATGGAGCGTCATCATTAGGGAATGGTGTGGGTATATAATATTTTCTGAAATATGAGGCACAACTCTACCATCATATCCGGCACGGGCATGGCTTTAGCGATTGTTTGGGGTGCACATATAATATAATCCATTCAACAGGTGTCAATATTGCCCAATTGTCTATCAGCAATGCCTTTACAGAGGCAGAAAAACAGACTATATCGATCCCTGAATACACATTGTTGTAGATTCGTACCTGAGCCCGACAGTGCACACCATGGCCAACTCTTGATATCCCACGCTGACCTCCAGGTACCTCTGTACGCGTGCTACCGTACCCCGAGTTCCTACATATCTGTCCAAGACAAGTGTCTCACCTCGGGCGTCGTCTCACCACTCCACGACATCTTCAAGACTCGAGTCTCTCTCGGCCTCTCAGAGCTTCAAGTCTTCACGTCTTCACATATATCATCTCCCTCTTCAGCTCTCCTCCCGACGACGATCGCCAGACCAAGCGAGCCCCGGTTGGGTCAATGCCGTATCATCGTCATTGCGCGCTCTGGTCTCCCGTTCCTGACTCTCGATTCACGTCTTATTAAGAAAGTGTTGTGTGTAAGGTATACTTAAACCCTCAGTATATCCATCCATTCATCTATACATACACACATACACCCTCCTCTCGCTCTGGTTCTCGTTCTCGCTCTCGTTATCGTTCTCGCTCTCGTTCAATCAATTCCCCCATGTCCCCCTTCGAGTTTTCGCGATGGAGGCGGCGTCCGGCCGTGATCGCGTTGACGGTGCTCCTGGCCCTTGTCTGGCTCTACGCCCTGGCACCTCGCGCGGCTGGCTTGCCGCCAGAAGACGTGCTGCGCGATCTGGAGCATCTGCGGAAGTACGCCAATACCTCGCAATTCAGTTATGCCCGGCGCATCGTCAAAACCAGGCTCTTCACCGGCGACAGAAAAGACTTGACCACCGTCGACGAACCCTTGTTTCCGGCTCCCCAGATCCTCGACAAGGACTCTCTGTCACGTGCCCAGCTCGTGTCGCTGCCCCCCTTGGAGCTGGCGGTCCCGCGCTCTCCAAAGGTCGACACGTCCATCTTGTCCTTTGGAATAGCGACTTCAGTCTCTCGACTCAATGAGGCCACGCCGCAGCTGCTGCACTGGCTGCCGCATACCGGCTGCCCTCTCCACGTGATCGCTCCCCCAGCCGACGACACGGCTTCCACACAGTTCCGCATGAACGAGCTGGGCCTCAACACCACCATTGAGACCTCCTCAGTCGAATTCCCGGTTGCCTACTTCTCTCTCTTGAAACGACTTTATGATACCCGCTCCCCACGCACAAAATGGATCGTGTTGATCGACGACGACACCTTCATCACTTCTCTGCCCTCCCTCGTCTCCCACCTCTCCACCACCTACGACTCTTCCAAAGAAGTAGTCGTTGGTGCAACATCTGACAATTTTGACCAGATCCGTGTCTGGGGCGTTCAGCCCTTCGGCGGCGGTGGTATCTTCATCTCCGTCCCACTCGCCGCCCGCCTGACCTCCCCTGACATCTGGGACAAGTGCGTCAACGGGATGGGCCACAACCAGGGCGACAAGATCCTGAGTTCATGTCTGAACGAGTTCACGGACATCAGGCCAAAGTTCGACGACGGCCTCAACCAGATGGATATCACCGGGGAGAACGATCCCGCGGCGGGCTATCTAGAGAGTGGTAGACGCATGCTGACTCTCCATCACTGGCGCAGCTGGTTCCATGTCGATATCCCCACGGCAGCGCTCGTGTCCAAGGCTTGCGGAGACCAGGGAGTCTTCCAGCGCTGGGCGTTCCCCGCTGCGAACCAAGTGCTGAGCAACGGATTCTCGATCGTGGAGTACCCCAAGGGGTTGGACACTGTTAATCTGGCGTCAGTAGAGAAGACGTGGGATGGCGACGAGCAGAAGTTCCTACACCGCATCGGACCCTTGAGGAATCCGCTAGGGAAGGAAGATAAAATCAGCTACAGGCTTCTCGACGCCGAGGTGGTCGAGGGCTGGTTCGTGAGGCAGATATACGCGCGGAAAGCGGTCCAACAGGAAGGCAGTGGGGATAATGAGATGGATAGAATCCTCGAGCTGATATGGCTCCACTAAAAAAAATGACACTATGTATTATACAGCGCAGGGTCGCGTGTTCCTTCGTTCAACAATATAGATTTCTGGCTCCTTGATAGAATCAAAAAGACTTTCATCCCTACTACCTCCTTGCGCATGCAAATCGGTACCACGCCATCTCTCCTATTGATTTGTATCTCGCTCACCATTGACCATCTTTACGTATTCACATAGGTACAGAACCTAGAAATATTCCCGTACCCGACATATCCCCTACCCCCCCTATTATCAACCCAAACTCTAACTCCCCCCTCCCAACACCCAACACCCCGACTTCTTCCTTCAAATCCCAAATCCCAAATCTCAAGTCAAAATCATATTAATATAAATATAAAAGTAAAAATAATAATACCAATGAATATCAAAGCATTCCTCCCCACCTATCGGACTGTATAATCCTCTCTCTAAAAAAAGGAAAAATGAAAATGTGAGATTCAAAGATATACAGCAGGGATTCATACTACTGCAGCGGATAGCTAAGTAGAAGTCTTGGTATAGTATAGTAGATTTAGTTGTTTGGGGTCAAGAGCTACTGGGCGGGTTGGTAGAGGGGGTTTTTTTTGTTGGGGGGGGGGGATCTAGATATCCAGACCCTCCCCCTCCAGCGACAGATTGTATCTTTCGAAGGTGTATAATAATATATTTTCAATTCCAATCACCCTCAAGATCCAAGCTTATACAGAACAGAATATCTTTTCATTATTACGAATCGTGTGTATCATTATCTCAATACTATGTATCGTGAATGCACCAGCGCCAACCACCCTACTCTACGCAGTAGAAAACCTCAGATCAAAGAAAAAGAAAAGGGGAACGGAGAAAGGAGAAAGGTGAAAAAACATTACTCGTACATCTAGAACTTCTAACATCCCATATTCTATCCATCCATCCCATGAAACCATTCAACTCCGGCGCTTGATTGCTTGATCGATTTCTATATTCCCAACCCGCTGCAAAACTCCTGCCACCAATCAAGCTTAATAACTAAGAGCCGAGCGCTGCGTCAAGCCAAAGATCCAGGCCGCCTCGCGCGACGAGCCCGTCTGGAAAAGCCACTTTCGGATCCTACCGCTGACCCCGCCCACCCGGCCGACGCGTCCGATCTCTCCTCTGTCCCCGCGGATGTCCTCCCAGACGTTGACCACGATGCCCATGCGGCCCAGCCTCGAGAAGCAGGCCGAGCCGAGAACCTCATCGAGCACCACCGCGTAATCGTTCTCCGCCTTGCCGATCTTGATGGAGACGATGATGCGTTTCTCAATGCCGTTGTACAACGACGACGCCTGCCGCGTGCCCGGTCGAGGTTGCGTAATCGTGAGGAGCGCCGAGCCCTTGTCGTCCCATTTCAAGCCTCGCACTAAGCAGTAGAGCCGGATCTTCAGATTCTCGTTCCCGAGGGGGTGAATGCCACCAGACGTGTTGGTCGGAGCGAGCGAGAGACTCGGCGGGGTTCCTGGGGGCGTGGGATCTGAATTGCCGGAGTAGCGGGAGCCATAGGAGCTACCGGGGACGGAGATATTGCCCTTTGCGCCGGTATGGATGGAGCTTTTTGCGATGTTGAACAAACCGCCACCGCTCATGCGTCGCAGGCGGGAGAATGCCGAAGAGGAGTGCGATCGTTCAGATGGTTCTGCAGAGGGGGCGCGGGCAGAGGCGCGATAACTCTTTCTTCGACCAAAGAAGAATCTGCGACGGCTTGGCTCTACTGCGGCCTCGTAGGTGTTGCTGCCATAGTCATTGACGATGCGCTCTTGCTCCAGTTTCACCCAGACCGGGTTCTCAAGGCGGGCTTTATGGATTGTGTTGTAGAGCAGGTTGCAGGCTTGTGGAGAAATGGAACGGTAGCGGATGCTGCTGCTGCACTTGAGTCGGGAGTAGGAAGTTGGGGGTGAATGGATCTCGATATCTACACCCGTGCTCTTTCTGAGGTTGACCATTGGCGTGAGTACGAGCCCAACGAGAGGACGATCTGCCTCAGCAGCATCTTCTTGATCATCCGGAGTACCGGAGGAGTTGAGAGGAGAGCCGGTTTTTGGTGGTGACGAGTGACATGCGTTCATTTCAAAGGCTTCAATCAGACCTGGACTGACGATTATGGAGCAAGGTTCAGGATGAATATCATCCCAGCGACCCTTTGCATTATTCCAGGAAGAGACCATTGCCGTAAGCTTGACACTGGCTGATGATCTCTGCAGAGGGACTCCACGGTAAGGTCCTTGGGAAACAGCGTTTGACGGCGCGAGAGTGCTGTTCGGAAGATTATGTCTTGGAGGTGACATTCGCTTGCTGTAAGGACTTATAGGTACAAATTGAGGCTCTGGAATGTCTTCTTCCTCAAGCTCTTCATCCGATGACTCCGAGGAAGAGTCCTGGTCCGGGGAGTCGGAATATTCAGATTCGGAGGTATCTGAGCCATTCGAAGGCCGATATTCGTGCTTCAATGGCGAGGAAATTCTTGGGTTTCTGCCTTTCGGAGTCGGAGTTTCAAGGACTGGAGACGGCTTCAGGGTCTTGGGGGTTGTTGGGGTTCGGTGAGTAGGTGGTGGCGGGGGTTGATCATCTGGAGAACTGTGATCGGGTGTGGATGGACTTTCATCTGACGCTTCTGGAATAAAAGGCAATGCACCAGACATGAAAGCTTCTGAATCTGGACTACCCCTGGCCTTCGAGTCAGACCGATGTCGAGGGCTAGATCTTGCTCTTGCATGATTGATTGCCGGCTTCTCTTCATCATTACTCTTAAGTTGACCATGATCTTTGGCGCCTGCTGAACTGACTACTGGCTCTTCTTTGACGAGATCGTATACTGTAGGTTTGTATCGTGGGCCCTGTTGCTCCTGATGCATGCTCGCGATTTCTTCCGCCTCTCGTCGCCGACGCTCGCCGATTGGTATCTCAATGTCTTTGCTTGGTAAAGACGTCGGTGATCCGCGATTCAAGCCCTTTGGGAGGATTGGAGGAGGGATTGGAACTGTACCCAGCATCTCAACCCACTCCTTTGCGGCGTCGTAGTCATCGGTTTCGAGAATGAAGGTTTCTTGCCAGTTCTGACCGAGGTTGTCCACGCCTCTCACCAAGACCACTACTTGGCCGTCGGAATCACCCATGCGAGCTGACATGACATCTCTCGAGATAGGAGTAAAAAGTAGCCATCGACTGATATCATCAACAGCGCAGACCAGAACATCGCCAGGATCCTTCTTAGCTGAAGGCTTGTCTCGAAGTAACAACTCGACCTCACACTCAATTCGCTGGCCGCTAGAATGTGGCATATCAAGTGAGAAGTGGTCTTTAGCATAAACTTGTCGAGTACGGTCGATCTTTGTGTTCTCTGCCAGAGCCAAAGTCCTGGGGTCGCGAGCTCGAGTAGCATCAGTGTTATAAGCAGCTCGATCCACCATTCTAGCCTGTTCTTCTTTGGTTCGACGACGTGATTTTGCTACAAGATCTTCCCACATAGTGTCGACAGACCGTGTTCGATCAGTAGGATCAATTCTGTTGATGCCCTGCGTATGTCAGTTTCGTTCAGCGAGTGTAAGACAGTAGATCCAAACCTTGAGGACCCTTGACAGATACTTGATTCTGACTAGGGGTCTCCTGAGCAAGAAGGCGACATCGACACGCTCGCCATCGGCATTGACCATATCTCCGTTGGCGTTTCGAGGCATGTCGTAGAGAGCTGACTGTTCTTCAGTGGAAGAAGGGGAGGTTGCAGGAGCCAAGTTGACAATAGCACCTTGAAATCCCATTCGCCAAGCAACAAGGTAATCGTCGTAGGATTTGTGAGCACTGTGAGCCCAAGAGGTGAGACCTTCTGGATCACCGAGGGGTATTCGTTTATGGAGAGATCTCAAGTGCTCAAGAGCAATTCCCATATCAACAATAGGTTTGGTGAAGGAACTATCAATCAATTCATCAGGATTGGCGTCGAAGATGCCTGCAGCGATTGCAGTTTCGGATTTCGAGAGAACAGAACTGAGTAAAACGGGAATAACACCGTCTACTAGTGTATCTAGCTCTCGTATGTATTTACTTTCATCGTCAGCTAGTTCCCGCATAAAATCTGGGATTGTGGCGGTTTCGAAAGGGGCTCTCGAGGTTCGTATGCTACGTGCAGATCTGATACTAGTGGCCTTTCCAGGTGGTGCGGAATCAGGTAATGAAAGCACAGAAAGTAGGTCTGCGTGCTTAGTGAGTCGTCTTTTCAGACCTGATTTATTGCTTTTGCGTGAGAGATTTGACTCTGTAGGTAATGTGGAAAGCGTGTCTTCTGTCACAGTTGTTTGTGAGAGCCCTGATGCAGTTTCAGCAGCAGAGGACTTTGTGCTGAAAGTTTCAACAGATGCGATTGTTGACAAACGATGTACCCCGGTAGTTGGTGCTGGTCGTCGGGGAAATACTGGAGGTGGCATCAATTCGTGGGTAGGTTTGGAGGTTGTGTCTTCTGGCTCTCGTGGGCTATTCTTTGGTACACGTTCTTCAACACCCTCACGTCCACTGCCATAAGATCCTGAAGGACTACGGTTTTCGCGGGAGTCAGATATATCTTGCAGTGGACCTCCCTTGGAACGGTACGTTGTTGATTCCCCCCTAAAAGCATCTAACAATGCTTCTTTCAGGGGCGACTTTCTTGCTAACTTTGGCGGTGAAGTACTGCGTGTAGCAGGCGTCCTCTTCAAGCCGTTTGGAGAGAGGGAAGGAGGCTTTCCCATACTCGGGAGTGTCTCCCGCGCTGTGGAAGGGCTATCTCTATTGGAAACACGATGTCTATCGCCCAGATCGTGGGGACTTCGAACATGACGCTTCCGAGCAACCCCGCTCTCAACACTGGCCGCGAGATTCTGCTCTGGGGTATCATTTTCCTTATAGTTACGCGTCCGTGATGGAGACAATTCCTGGGCTTCTGGCATGGACTTGGGGGTAGCTGGGGCTTCGACGAACGGATCCGTTGTGCCTTTCAGCCAAGATTCGATACTAGGAGGCTGATTCGGGCCCGCTCTGGGTGGATCGACTGTATCGTGAACAATATTAATGGCTTCACTATACACCTTCTTGAAAACTTTTGGCATACCAAAGCTGGGAGTTCGGTTTGGTGGAGGCCGTCGCATGGTACCTGCTTCAGCGCCGACGGGCATGTCAAGAACGCTGAAGGCCGAGTTTCCAAAGGGAATCTCGTCCAAAGATTCAGCAACAGTGTCCGACCTCCGTGGGTGTCGTCTCGATCGTTTCCGGCTGGGGGTCCAAGCCGAGGCATCATTATCGTCGCCAGCTTCGCGGGTATCACCAGTCAAGGTCGTAGGCTCATGTTGTCTGCCCTCGGAATCTAGGGGCTCAAGGTATTTATCACTCCTTTTCCTTGGGTTATCCGGTTTAGAACGTCTCCTGCTGCTGGGTTCATGTGGTATTCGCAATCCGTCATCAGCGGAATTGAACGAAAAGTCCCTGGAAGACTTGGCTTGAATTCCACCGTCCATGTGATCTGGGGAAGGTCGAACGCGAATACCATCATCAAACGGGCTTTGCCTCGAAGAATCCCTCGATTTGAGTGCATTGTCTACCTGCTCTTCTCGAGGCACCCTTCTCTTTCGGGAGCTAACGTCTTCATCGACAGAGTCGTCGTGAGGAGATTTCTGTCTGGAAGCCCTTCTCCTCCGCCGAGAGCTAAACTCTTCATCGACAGAGTCTTTGTCGGGAGAATTTTGTCTGGAAGCCCTTCTCCTCCGCCGAGAGCTAAACTCTTCATCGACTGAGTCCTTGTCGGGAGAGTTTTGTCTGGAAGTTCTTCTCCGCCTAGGCGTCTCTCCCACACTCTCCCGTTTCGACGATTTCGGGGTCTTCCGAATCTCCTCGGGCCCTTCACTCACGCTCCTCTGGGCCCAATCATTAATCCTTTTCTCTAATGGCGGGGTAGACGCCGCGACTGGGAAGTCTTTCGGCAGGGCTTCCTTTCTCGGTGTTCCGCTTGGCGTCCTTTGCTTCAAGATCTTCGCACTTGGAGGAGGCGTCTCAGACTCCTCACTCGCATTCCGCCTTGCCCAGTCTTTTATCTTCTTTTCCAAAGGCGGATTGTTTGTCAATGCTGCGAAGTGTTTTGGTATGGGCTGTCCCTTCCTCGGCGGGGACTTCCTTGGCGGTGACTTCTTCTTCTCGGGCTTCTTCATCCATTGATCATCACCAATGACCTTCTTTTTGGGCGACCCCGCGCTTCTGCTCCGCCCTCTTGCAGCTTCTTTCGCTGTTCCGCCAATTGGTATGTCATCCTCCGCCTCTCCGCCTTTCCGCCGTCCGGGCCTGGGCTTCGTACTCCCTCCTCCGCTCTTCGACTTGTCATCCTCCCATTCGCCATCGCTCTCCGCTTTCTCTTCTTCCACTTTCTTTGCAGCAAGTTCAGCGGCACTGGCCTTCTGCCATTGTTTGACCCTATCTTTGACACCCCCCGGATTTGGAACCTTCCCAATGGCATCGGCCTCAAGTTTCATTTCCTTTTTAAGAGCATCGAGACTCTTCCTTCGTGTTGCCGTTCGAGTTCGCTGTGGACTAGGCCTTCCCAATAGGAAATCCGAAAAGAGCGTAGGTTCCGCCTTCTTGGGCGTTTTCCGGACGGCGGCGGGTGCACTATTGGGTGTTCGTGCTTGCGTAGCAGAGGATTTTCGAACGGGCGTCCTGTTGCCGGAGGCCTTGCGAATCCCACTCCCTCCATTGCGTGGACCTTTACCTACTGAGACGCGACGAGCATTCAGTACCGGTTTGGCTTTCGTAGGCGTCTTCTCGTCGTCCGAGGGCTTAGGGGAAGGCATTTTTCCCTTTACCTATGTTGAAAGTTCCACGGATCAGTATGCGTCCCCTTCTACATTCCAGAAGCCCCCGCGAGACGAGACAATGGCCGAAGGCGCCACGCGGCGGATCAATGGGAGTGAAGAATTACGGATGGTGGAAGCTCAGCTATCTCCTCCGCCCTGCGTGCTTCGTACTCCACACTGCTCGTGGAGACGATGCGCACTCGTAGTTCAGGAGCCGCATCGAAGACGTGTACAAGTTTGCGTTTTTTTTTCCCTTGCGCAGCGGACGTTACCTCACCGATGTGTGCTGTGCGCGATGCGATGCGATCGATCGATAAAGGCTGGTCTGCTGCGTCGGATTGGTCGACGGCAATGCTACAAACGGTTGATGCAGCAACGAATTGCGAAAATGAAACCTTGTCTCCTCCTTTTCCTTGCTTCTTGTCAAGGGGAACAGTCGCGCGGTAGGTGTGCAGGAGAAGTGCAGTGCGTCTATGCACTTGAAGCAAGGTTTACATAGGATGGGACGCCATGTTATTGTTTGGACTGAGATGTCGTCTAGGGCCTTGGTTTGTTTACGCCTTAAAGGCTTAATCCCCAGCCGCCTCTCCCGTCTAGTCCAAAGCTACGGTACAATAACACACGCCATCCATCTTTGAGGTAACCGACTCCACACCTGCGCCACAGGGGTCCTGGGAGCTGGGAGCTGGGAGCTGGGAAGGGCTGGGAAGGCTGGGCCATGAGGGGCACGACTCCAGCTACTCAGGTGCAACACGCAGATCTCGAGGCTCTTCCCTTTGTGGCTTCTGCTGCCCGCCAAGTAGGTGTGTTTTGTACCAAGTAACTCGAGTTGGCATTTTGATCGAGGACACCACGGGGAAACTATCGAGCAAGCGTGCGATGGACCTATGAGCCAACAGGACCAGAAACCTCATGGACTTGTTACTATTGGGGCGCTATTGGGCCTAAAAGTGCTGGTTCAAAGCCGGCGATGTTTCTCAAGACCGTCACCCTCTGTCAAAGTGGTCGTCCGGTGCGACACCTAAATAACCTCCGCCTCCTACGGCACAGACTAGTATCAAGCCTTCATATCAAGTCTCGCTCATATCAATTCCTCGTATCTACCTCCTGTCATGTTTTATCCATATGGCGGGATTGGCTCGATAGTGAAAATCAGCCTCAACCCCTCGGGGTATTTCGGAGTAATCAAGGACTACTGGACTTCGTCTCCATCGCCGTGACCAGCAGATCCAGATCCCAGGGACGTGACGACTTTGGTACCAAGAAAGCCCCGCCTAGTCCCGGTATCCGTTCTCGGGACCAGACTTCTTTGATATGCCATGGGATTTCCGGAACTGTGGCAGGCGCTATATCAATTTCCCCGTTTATCTTTGTCTTTCTGCCAGTTAGTTCATGGCATATCGAAGGCTCCTGAAAATGCCCATAGCCTTCAGTGTTTAGTCTAGAGGTTGAACTTCTGTCGGTTTTGAAAAGGACGTGCAAGTTAGAGAAAAAGAGGCAGAGTAATGAGGAAATCCCTTAAATGAGGACGGGTGTATTATATGAGACGCATAGTAAAATCCATCATATGGCCGTAAAGATGACATGAGCTGTCATTCTTTTCTAGCAATATCTCGATCCATGTTCATGCCAAGATGATCAGAAGGATTGTAGAAATACAAGCGATTACTACCTTGGGAAACTGTGAACACGACTGACCTGACGGTACCAAGGAACGCGTGTCCAGCATTGCGGGAATAGGCGTAGATAATAGGTACCTTACCTTAGGATGCGCTTCACCACCGCCTTTACCAACAGCACACAAAGACGAGCAAGGTGAATCAAAGTCTTCCAGGGAGATTTCATAACCCTCGAGCTCGAGCAGACCCTAAGACTACTAAGCTTCGAGGAGCGGAACCACTGCTACGCCCGAGCAACCTACATCAAAAGCATCAATGCCCACTAGCCAATCCAAAAAAAAAAGAACCTGCTGCAACTTCTATTGCATCTTTGCTTTTTATAAGCTGAATTTCGCATGTATAGTTAGTCTGCTATACTGCAAGAGCGGCGTCTTCACCAACATATTGCGTGCTATAAATGTCCTATAGAAAAAGCTACAATATCCGCGAAATTGATCCAAGGGGGGTAGAAACTTCCCGTGGCCGCAAGGGAAGCGCCATCAGAGGTACTACCAGAGTATTTCGTTTGATGCACTCTTTTTCACGCTCTTCTAGAGGCCAAGAAACTGATGCCCAGGACCAATCACTGGACAGAAGTACAGAGGCTTGCCTAGAGAAAAAAACAAAGACTTCGCTATTCGTTCGGATGCCTCCGAAGCAGGTTTAGACGGCCACGGCAGCATTTGGGTACTTTGCATTTCAAGGCGTCCGAGCAGGTACAGGCGCGGGCAGCATATCATAGCGGCCACTTTGCACCCCTTTTTGGGACTTCGTATTCTTGGGCAGAGCGGCCCTACATCAACATTGGGAAGTGAAAGCCACAATATCACACATGCCAAGTGGGCGAGCTTTCAGACGGCTTGAATGCCGTGCATTACTAAATCGAGTTGAACCTGTACAGTATTTTTTCATGCATCTTAGGAATTGCGAGCCGGCTCGACGAATTTCCGAAATCGAAAAGTATCATCCACCTCATCGCTTCCGCTACTCATTCTCGTCAGATCGTCTTCCTCCATCAACGCATCAATTGTCACTTTGCCATTAGGCCTCTTCTCATCGGTTGCCACGAGGTTCAAGGGCGATTCTTCCTGTTGCCCGTATATATCGAAGCCTCGTGTCTCTGCTTCTTGCCAAGGTAGGTCCCCATCATCTGGCCCGGAGATTGATGCCAGGATGTAATCCTGCGTATCGCTAAAGAAGATCGCAGGAGCTGAGGACTCGGCATTCAGCCACCGACCTACTGTCTTCCCGAGCAATTTACCACCAGGTAGCTGGGACGCGAAATCAATGATCTTCGGGCTCTCCCATGAGGGGTCCCAAATATGGACAAGACCTTTGCTCTCTTCTCCCTCACATCTGACTAGTAATAGTTCGTCAATGGTAGGATGCCAGGTGGCCTTTGCAATAGGGTCGTGAAATATCATTACTGCGCGCAACATTCCGGTCCCAATGTCCCATATCCACACTGTGGTTGGCATATTTTCGGTTCTAGTCGCCAGAAGCGTGCCGGATTTATCGAAAGTCAGGATGTTTGTCCCTGTTTTCGAATTCGAATCGCCACTGGGAGATGAGCCAGATGTTGGCGGAGAGATTGTTTGAGTTGCTTGTGTAAATTTCCGGGCGAATCCAGTTGGTGACGGAATGGCCTGCTCTTGCCAGATCTGTGAATGTCAGTAACCTTCAACCACTGAGATGGGTATCTATCTGTACTTGATGTGCATCTGCAGGCTTTATAACAGTATTATGAAGCAGACTCATGGACTCTGTAAAAGATGGCGCAGCAAGGAGTGTGATCCTTCTGCTGTAGTCCCCAACTGCCAGATGAGATCCACTTTCATTCCAATCAAACAGTTTTACACCAGCTCCTAACGTCGGATCGGATTCATCTTCGTTTACGGGAGTGGGCCCTTTCCAAGTCTTATATAGATGGCCATCTGCGGTGTATATCCATACCCCATGTCCTTGTGAGGCAGATTCCCAGACTGCTATCCATCTTCCATCCGGACTCCAACTAAGGCCCTGGGCATCGACAGTATCAGAATACCACGATCTCGTAACCTCTTGTGTATCCCGGGCATGGATGCTAATTATGTCCTTTCCGCCACTTCTCGTCAGGAGGGCCATGTTGAGTGTCCCAGGCCGATATGAGATTCCCCTCGCAGCCACACCCGGACTGTAGAGTTTGGGAGAGTTTATATCCACAGATTTGGATGTTGAAAGACTGAAGATAGATAATTTCAACCCAAAATCAGAAAATACGCACACTTCATCGTCAGTCGCTCCGAACCTGACGTAGACAGCCTTCGCAGTCCCTGATGTGGGGTTGGTGATGGTTGCTGAGAATTGGGGATTTGTTACCGAGAAGACTCGAATCTCGGCGGCAGAGGCCACAAGGATTGCAGTTGACGATGCCGACCAGAGAAACCAGTTCACAGACGCCGCCAGTTCTGGAGGAAGGGATATGACACGTATAATCTCGAGAGAACGCGTCGCTCGAACACTGAGCTTGGCCGGAAGGATTGTTGCAATGTACTCGCCATTGGGACTTGGAAGGGATTGTGAAGACGCTAGGGAGCGTCAGAAAGACACTTAAGGGGTGTTGAAGAGACTTCATACTTACACTTCAGGGAGCGTGAGAAGCGCATCTTGGTGGTGGATCGAGTCATTGACTCTCTGATGTTGTTTACCTTACAGTGTTCAGCGTTGAAGTCAGCGTTGCCTCAGGAACTCAATTGTTGTCGGATAAGATAAGGTTTGTCAAGCGGGGATCGTCAGCGGATCGATCTAACTAACCCCACCCTACCGCCGTTCTATGTATTTAAGAGGATGTCCGTCATGTTTCTCCCGGACTTCTCTCTCTCCTCCACCTTGAAACAGCGACAAGAGGGCGTGGCAGCGTGGAAGATGGCATCGTATCCTACATAACGGCCTCCTGGTTGAATGTAATACAAAGCCCAACCATGGCCTCGTCGTTGCGAAGAGCAGATCGGATACCTGCATTTGCCAGGGCCAAGCGACTGTCGCTGTGCCGCCACACCGGACAGGGTCGAGGATTTGCTTCTGCGGCACCAGAGGTTCAAGAATATCCAAGTCACCAACCTCCGCCAGACTCGCCAACGGCCAGCCGCCGCGAGGCAATCAAAAACGCAAAGCCTTTCTCAGCCTTCCTCACCGACACCTTCCAGCGCCAACACGACTATCTGCGGATCTCCATAACGGAGAAATGCAACCTACGATGTCTGTATTGCATGCCGGAGGAGGGGGTCCCTCAGTCGCCGCCAGCTGAACTCCTCACCACTCCCGAAATTTATCTCCTCTCCTCCGTCTTCGTCTCCCAGGGCGTCACCAAGATCCGGTTGACGGGCGGTGAACCGACCGTACGACGAGATATCGTCCCTTTAATGCACCAAATTGGGTCTCTCCGCTCCCAGGGTCTGCGAGAGCTTTGCCTTACGACCAATGGCATCTCTCTCCATCGGAAGTTAGACAGTATGGTTGAAGCTGGGCTCACAGGCGTGAACCTCTCTCTCGACACCCTCGATCCCTGGCAGTTCCAGATCATGACCCGACGGAAAGGGTTCGATGCGGTCATGAAATCCATCAAGCAGATCCTCGAAATGAACAAGCTTGGAGCCGGGATCAAGCTGAAAATCAACTGCGTGGTGATGCGGGGCCTCAATGAGCGGGAAATCATCCCCTTCGTCGAGCTCGGGAAGGAACAGGATCTGGAGGTCAGGTTCATTGAATACATGCCTTTCGACGGCAACAAATGGAGCGAGGGAAAGATGCTCCCATATCAGGAAATGTTGGATATAATTCGTGCTAAATACCCCACCCTCCGAAAGGTGCAAGACCATAAGAACGACACCAGCAAAACATACGAGATCCCTGGATTTATGGGTCGGATGGGATTCATCACAAGCATGACGCATAATTTCTGTGGGACGTGCAACAGGCTGCGGATAACCAGCGATGGGAATCTGAAAGTCTGTCTTTTTGGAAATGCAGAAGTATCCCTAAGAGATATCCTACGCAAGTCGAACGACGGGAATCCGATCGATGAGCAAGCCCTAGAGGCGATGAAGCAACTCGAGAGAGACCGGCGACAAGGCCTGAACTCTGGTCCTTTGGCAGTGACGCCAAACGAGCAGGAACTGTTGGATGTCATTGGACTGGCCGTCAGCAGGAAGAAGGAGAAACACGCGGGTATTGGCGAGTTGGAAAATATGAAGAATCGCCCGATGATCTTGATAGGTGGGTAGGTTCTTTTGTCGCATCTTGCAAGCATTTACGGAGACATGACTTTCTTTTTTTTGGGAAATGGAGCATCAGTGGCGTCTGTATCAGCATACGGAATATATCTTCTGCATGAACACTCATATGTATGGAGATTTACATACCATATAATTGGAATTCATGAATTACCATCGAATGTATCATCTGCGTGAGATGGGATTGTGCAACTTGTCAAAAAACTCCGTCTTACTGATCCTCCCCAGGTGAATCTCCCTCCCAACATCGACGGTCCCGCTACTCCTCACGAAGACCAACCCTCTTAACGCCCCCATGGCAACGCATCTCACCACTCCTCCTACCCGCCACCACCACCATCACCAACACCTCCTCCTTCCCCCCCTCCCTCCACTCCTACTCAACCAAACCACCCCCTCCCCCTCCCTCTCGCGCCCCCTCAGACCAAGACCCCGACCAAGACCCCGACCAAAACCAAGATCAAAACCAAGACCAAGACACCACACCACCCCTCCGGCTCACCCACCTCACGCCCACGGGCAGCGCGCACATGGTATCCATCTCCCACAAAGCCCCCACATCCCGCCTCGCCACCGCGCACTGCACGATCCACTTCTCGACCCCCGTAGCACTCCCACTCATCCGCGCAAACCAGCTCTCCAAAGGCGACGTTTTGGCCGTGTCTCGCATCGCTGGGATCATGGCTGCTAAGCGTACGGCTGAGTTGATCCCGCTTTGTCATCCTATTGGTATTACGCATGTTGAGGTTGAGCTTGATCTCATCGAGGGAAATGCGGCAGGGCAGCGGGATGGGGAGGATGATGGGAAGGGGAGAGGGAGTGGGAATGGGAATGGAAAGATTGAGATCAGGGCTACGGTGGCGTGTGATGGGAAGACGGGCGTAGAGATGGAGGCGCTGACTGCGGCGAGCGTAGCCGCGTTGACGGTGTATGATATGTGTAAGGCGGTTGATAAGGGGATGAGGGTTGAGGGCTTAAGGGTCGTGAGGAAGGAGGGTGGGAAGAGTGGGTTGTGGGTTGAGGGGAGGAGTGTAAAGGAGGAAGAGAAGAAGAAAGAAGAAGAAGAAGGGGGAAGGGGAGGGGGAGGAGGAGGGGGAGAATTGAGTGAGTGAGTAAAGAAGGCATCGAGAATAGGGGCTAGGTTAGAAACGACAAAGTCTTAATATTGACCACATCACAAAAAGTCATGTACTGGTACAGAGAAGTTTGGAGAGTTTCTTGATTTATCACTGCATCTAGCTCTGCACGGCCTGCATTGTTCCAGGCGCAAAAGCTAAATCCATCGTTCGTTGTGGGTGTATATCGACAATTCGACCCGAACATAAAAGCCGCGTATTCCTATATATATATATACCCCTCTAACCCTCCATCTGCCTCTCAACCGGGTAACAGGTCCCATCCATCCTGATATTCATGCATGCCATAGCCCATGACTTCATTCGTATGCCCAACACCTTCCGATCAAGCAGCAGTTGTGTGTGCCCCAAGAATCCAAAAACGCCACTCCGCCAGTCTGCCTGCCGTGCTCATAAATCACTGTCCATTGCGTGCCACAGCGGGGACATTCTGTACCATGTACAATAATCCTACAAACCATCCCCACCGTTCCGTAACCCATCGCATTCCCAAAGTCGGCATTCATGAACACTGTCTCCTCGTACCCCATTGACCCCCTTCGTCCTCGCCACCCACGACCTGCTTGTCAGGCCGTGTCTCGCCTGGCATCGGCGGGCTCGCGCTCTTGCTCCTCTTCCAAAAATTCAGTCCATTCATACGGAACCTACTGGGCTTCTTCCTCAGATGTCGCACCGTCTCCATCAGAACGCCCTTGCCCTCATGCGGCTCATGTCTCACGTATGAATCCTCTGGACCGTGCTCTCCCGGAGTCGAAACCGTAGAGCCCGTCATGGGGCTTGCATGGCTGGCTAATGGACTCGTGCCCGTAGGCGTGTTGTACTTTTCTACCGAGTCTTCGCTCATGATGCTGGTTCCTTGCGTACTGGGCGATATGGGCGTTTTACTCGTCGCCGCGCTCGTAGCATGCCAGGTTGAATCTCCAGCAGCGGAATTGCTACCTTCGGTCGTATCGCTGCTTCGTTGCTTGCAGTCGGTTCGGCCTCTCCTTGCCCCGTCGGCCCTTACGTGATCAGTAGCCAGAGAAAGTTTGAAATCGACACCATTGACTTGATCATCTCCATTAGGGGGCAGGTCTGCGTCTGTGCCAGGCTGATCCAGCCTACCAGGGGCGCTAGCGGTTTGGGAGATTAGGTGAAGCTGGTCAGGTTTTAAGGAATTTTGAGAGGATTGATTGTGTGTAACCTCGCTGGGCGAAGGATTGGAGTCAGTGGGACTACCCGTAGAGAGTCCTGGTGATGACCCATCATGCCCGCATTCCATGGACTTGTCAAATCCACCATTGGATGGCGAGAAGGGGCTCTTTTCGAGCATTGCCTTGATTCTAGATTCAGAATCGCTACCTGATCTTGCGGTAGCCTGAGCGACATTACTTGTCTTCTGGTGACTTCCATCAGAAGGTGTTGCCAGGCTCATCATGCGTGGGGATAACCTGCCGTCCATTGCAGAATCAGCACTGTGTTGTCTTGTTTTTGCTTGCTCTTCCTCGATCCTTTTCTCCCACGCGGTTTTATTCCGATGGAGTTCTTCAACGGTGAATTCCATAGCAGGCATGACGTCGGTCACTCCCTGGAAGAGAGGAATCGCAAACATATTCATAAAGCCAATCTGGGACTTCCCAAGCTCCACAATCTCCCGGACAGGAGCCGCAAATAAGGCGGAAGGAATGCCCAAGTCCTGCTCCATCGAAGCCTGGCGTGAAAATTCATCAGTCAATATCATCGTCCATTTGCATGCGACATCGAAGCGCCGGGCCTATACTTGATTATTAGCTTGAAAACCTTTGCCGTTGACAGACAACATACCACATTACTGATGTCGGCACACTTGATTAGCAAAGAACAAACAAGCGCCCGCTGCTCCTCGAGGAGTCGGCCATTCCAGCCATCGGTACCGCTACCGCCATTTGCATGCAACTTCTCTTGCATCCAGCCGAGCTTCTTCATATAATCGAAATGAAGACCCATATCGGTCGCAAGTATCGAGCTGATCATCAGCTGCCTCATCTCGACCCCTTGAAAGGCTGCTGGCCAATAGCGACGAAGGATTTGAGAGTACGCGGCGCAGTGGAACGATTCCAGAACCGATCGATCGTTGTATAACTGGGCGAGAGGAGCGTTAAGCGTGACAAGAAAAGCATTATTGACCCCAGGATGGCCAACATCGTGGCCAATGGCAGTGATCAGCAGTGTGAGAGCGTCGAACGGTCTTACGAGAGCGGCGACAGGTGACGGCGCGGGTTCCTGAGCTGGATCTGAATTTGGGTATTGTGGGAGACGTCCTAGCTGGACGAGAAAGTGGAAGACGGCTTGTAAGACATCCACGACGTGGCGGAAATTGTGATAAGGGACAAAGGCATTGTACGCCGAACGACAAGCAAGTAGAAATCCGGTAAGGTTCTCTGCATCGGGTGTCAGCATGCGTCAATTGCACCGTATCCGAGACATGGCTACGATATCTCCTTGCTTACCTGTCGATATCCGCCACCGCTCTAGTTCTGGCATCGCGAGCGCATGTTGTAGCATCAGTAATGCTGCATGAAGAAGTTCGTCGTCTGTGAATTCGTGCGCCGAGAAGTGCCACGACCCGACGGCCTCTGCAATCTTCTGCTGGCGATCTAAGGCCACTGATATTCGCATATGGCTAAGAGGTTGATCATCCCCTCCGAGTTTGCAAATCCCATCCATTAGCCCCGAGACCATGGCCTCACGTAAATATGCGTAAGGCTTTTGATCATCCACTCCTACCCAAGACCGTTTTCTCCCCCTTTTGATCTCTAACAATGCCCTCTGATCTTTCGATGCATCCCTATGTGCCCGGTATGCGTGAATCCCCAGGCTTGGTAACCGCTCTTGTAACAAGGGACTCGTCAATACATCTACTGCTCCCACATCCAGGTATCTTATGGTCCTAACTTGATCTAGCGGCGTCGCGAACCCCGCCGACTTCTTTGTATTTGAGAAGGATTCGTAACTGATCTGAGGCGTTTCTGGCTTCGAGTCGGCTCTCCTTCGGGATGTAACCGCATCGGCAGGATCTGGTGTCGAAACAACTGCAATCGGGACTACCAGTTTGGATAAGCTGTGATATTGGATCTCAGAGGCTATCCACCGCAGCAGGTCAAGCCCATATGCGTCTATTATGTCGGGCTCCTCCTGTAACGTATCAACTTGTAATCTCGAGCCGGGAGAAGGCGCTCGTATCTCTCTCGAGGGCGGGACGTCTAGATGGTCTTCGTCGGGTATGTCTATCAGGACCAGTGTCGGTATTAATTCACCGATCGAGGCCTGGTTCAACTCGGACAGTTTGGAGACGCATGACTTCCCGGAAGAGCAGACATGGACTGCAGGGGGCGGGGTCAGCCAGGCACGGAATGGATTCACGGGGAGGGGATCGATTGAGACGAACCTTCACTGAATGTCTTGAGCAAAGCCTGCAGATTGCCACCCAGGGCAGTATTCGCAGGAAACGGCGCATGTTCCTCAACGTGGTTTGCAGCATCAACGGAGAGAGCGGGCGATATGGAGTCTTCTCTCGTCACCAGTCTATCTTCGCGGGCCGCGCGATCGACGTAGACAACGTTGCATGCTGTGTAGTCCATGACTGCTTCGCGCACCGCGACGCCCAGCAAGAAGGCGGCCGCTCGCCAGCAGGAGAATTGTCGAGGCGACCAGTCCTCGGAAAGGTGAGTGCGAAGAGGGGGACAGCGACAGGACCAAGATCGAGAACTCTGGGCCCGACGGCGCGTGTCGCACACAGATGGATGGCTCGCGCGGGACGGTCCTCAGACGAGTCCAGGCCGCGTCGCACAAAAGGGTTTCTTTTATCGGGATTCTGCACGAGGAATTTCCAAGGTCCAAGGTCCAAGGTCGTCGTCGATGGGAACCCCGTCCGGGATGGCGGCACACGGCGGGATGGCGACAGTTCGCAAGAGCAGAGAAGGTCGATATGGAGGGAGAGTCTTCCCTGGGGCCCCCTCCGTAGGAGCCGCCGTAGGAGGGTATCTGGTACCTACCTCTCTACCAGTCGGCGTTGTAGTGCGCAGAGGTCGAGCGATGATGGCGGCGGCGCGGGACCCTTCTCTCTCTGTCGCTCTCTCTCGCGCTCGCCCAGCGGGGGTGGGGATCGACGACTTCGTGGGAAAGGCAAGGATGGACGACACATCAATTGCAACTGGGAGTGCAATTACAGGTGTAACGATTGCGAGATGTGGAGGCGGCGAGGGGAGTCGGACGTGCGAGGTGGAACATGGGAGAGGACTCGAGTCGGCGTTGCGCAAAAGGCGGATTGGGGGGGGGGAGGGAGGGAGGGATGGATGGATGATACTGGTCTTCGAACTACGGGGGGTGTAGCGACCGGGGGTTTGGTTCGACGACAAAGGATGACCGGGATATATTCGTCTGCGCTACGAAGATGATGGGCACAAGAAGGATGCGCTGAACATATATGGTTTGGGGGGGGAAGAGGGGGCGGATGAAGGAGGAGGAGTTTGGCGGAGGGAGGGATAGGGGAGAGGTTGAGTTGATATGGATATGATATGCGTATACTGTTGTGTAGTTGTTGTGGTTGTGGTTGTGGTGTGTGTGTATAAGAAAGGTGTATATGTTACGGGAAAGGAAAGGGAAGGGAGAGAAGAGGAAAGGGGGGGGAAGAGAGAGGGAGGGATGGGGAGGGCTGAGTAAGAGCGCGAAAGGAGAGGAGAAGAGAGAAGAGAAAGGAGAGAGAGAAAGAGAGAAAGAGAGAAGAGAAAGGTGAGCGAAAGCACAGAGACCAGAGGGTAATGCGTAATGGGTAAGGTTAAGTCGTTAAGGCCAGGGAAACGGCAAAAGGCGCGATGCTTAAAGCTCAGAAAGAGGGGGGCCCAAGGCGCTGGACTCTAGAGGCCTTCTAGAACCGGCGTAGAAGGTCGACGCGGTCGCTGATCCTTCGAACCAGGGGCGGTTTAGCCGTTTCCTGTTATCGTGCTAGACGGGGGGGAAGAAAGGAGAAAACCGCGAGAATTTCTATCATTCGTTGGTTCACGAAGGGATGAGCCGGGGGGGCAAAGAAAAGGAAAAGGAAAGTAAAAAGCAAAAAACAAAAACAAAAATAAATAAAAATAAAAATAAAAATAAAAAACAATAAAATAAAACAAAAGAGAAAATTAAATGAAATTAAATTGAAATAAAATAACCCAAGAAGAACCATTCACACCATGATAATCGAAACAATGTCAATACATCATACCGCCTCGGATGAATCGGGGCTGGTGCGATGACTGTATTGTTCCAACTCCCCAGAGCTAAATCACAAGTACCGTAGCCTAGGACCGCCGGAGAAGAAAAGGGCGCGTCAATCAATATTAACGACGTCGCATTCTGGTGATGATGATTTGTTGTAATACTTGTAATACCTAGGTAAATGATTCTGATGATTACTGATTGTGGGAGTCGTGCCAGTTCACCCAGTAGCAGAGCAGAAGACGGGGGGCGGGATGACGAGTCATGTCCCAAGTCCCGGTGAAAGTCCGACCGCCCTCTTGGAAGACAAAGACGACTTGCTGCGTGCTGGAAACGTGTCGGGTGCAGTCTTAGGCGCATTGAATTCCAATATTGATCCAATATTCTTACCTGAGAGATATTCTCGCCGTGTTCTGGAATCCTCATCCCCTTCCACCGCATTCGCATCGCATGAATCGGCCAACGCGCCCGATGTCCGGGAGGCTGGTGTTCAAGAGCCGCAGCACCAGCCTCATCCCCCCCCCGAGTCCGCTGCGATCTTTGCGCCCGCCACCGTATCGCCGGTTTCGCTCTGCTATCGGTTATCTGCTATCTCGAGGTATCTCTATCTGCTATCTGCTATCTACTCCTACCAGACAATACACTGTACCTTATTGGACGTCTCGGCATCACGTGCTGTTGCTACATCTGCTACGACGATTGCGCATGTCTGGTCAATGCCGGTGCGAGTGCCTGGCCTGGTTGAGTTCTTTCATCAACTAAACAAATCCTTGAACGAGTGTCGGAATACATCCTTGAAAAACCAGCGAAGTGTTCTCTTAGTTGGGGCCTCCTGTCTACAACCGCAAGTCTGTAGCGTCAAGCACCCAGTGCCTACAGCACCACGACGCCCTTCCCCTATAAATTGCCAGTATCATTAGACCCTTCTACACCATCTATCGATACCATCCATCTCCGGTCCTATGCGGTCCGCAAGGTATCAGGCATAGAGACTATTTTTGTCATGACGCTGTAGATATCCAGTGTCACTGCCGGCAGATGGCCTCCCGTTGTCTGATCACAAGAATGTGCTAGACGACAAGGACAGGAGAAACTATGATCCTCGAGATTCTATCATGCTATAAAACATGAGCTATGGCAGAACGTACTATCTTCCCTTTTTATTTTCTTTTTGTGGGTTGAAACCCCTTTTCTTGAAGAATGCTGCAAGTGATTTTTTTTTTTTCTATTCCCAGATTTCGCACCCCAAGTTTTTATGCCCTCTTACCCTTGAAACTTACAACGAATAAGGAGACTTGGCGCAGTGGTAGCGCTTCTGATTCCAGAGTCATCTAGGAATCTCCAGAGGGTCATCCGTTCAAATCGGGTAGTCTTCAATTTGTTTCATTTTTTTATCCGCAGAAATTTTTCTTTTTCTTTTTGCTTTTTCAATTCTTTAAATTTCCATCAGACAAACTCCCTGCACAATAAATACTACACAAGCAAGCCGGATTCAAAACATAATCCTGTGCCTTCAGACCTGTCCTAGGGAGGGTATTTTTCTCTTTCCCTCCCTCTACATATTATACTGCGTACGTAGTAGGTACATAGGTAAGGCACTTCCTCTTTTCACACGTGGTAAACGTACAACATGATTCAAATTATATACTATCTTGAACTTTTATAAGAAAGAAAAATATGTACTCCCTGTCGGTGGATGCATAGAACTTAAGTTTTGGGTCGCTGGTGGTCGAAGAAATTTATTTTCTTTGGTCTTGCTGCGTATATATATATATATATATATATATCATTGTCTGTCAAGTTATCAATAACCCTCTTTCCTTCTTTTCTTCGAGCCATGATGTTTTCTGCGATTCGATGATTTTGCTGAATTGAGCAATGAATGATCTTGGCTGTTACTACTACTACACTGTTGCGTGCCGCCCTACTCTACCAACTCCTATCCCTCTCTCCTCCTCTTTCTCTCCTTCAAGAACTTGGTCGTAAGACCGCTTTACTTCAAGTGGTGCTCCGGTTGTTCTCTTTGTCAGAAAATACAAAGAGAAAAACCCTCGATAAAAGACCCAAGTACCCTTTTCGCCCCCCCCCCAAAATTTCCCTATACTGAACATTGTAAAGCTACTGAAGTGTAGTCGAAGTTTGACAGCCCTGGCTCATTATCACACGGTCCCCGGCAAAGCTCTGCAGGAAGATGACCTTGTCTCGAGCCGTAAGAGATGAATGAGCTCGGCATAGCGCCGCGCTCTCGCGGTTCGTTGTCAGGGATTGAGACCTAGATAGATGATGCATACAGACAGAGCACAGCTGCATACAGAGCACAGCCATGGCATGCCGCGTATATACGACCTTTATACTAGAGCAATTTGATAGGTCATGAGTTATCTAAGAATAACAACTCCGGGATTTCATATCCTATTTGATCATTCCGGAAAATCTTAAGCATTTTGGTTTTTATGTCTCTGTTATGCTAGTTGCTAAAGCATACCTAAAATCCATCGAGTCCTTTCCAAAAGCTGCCCTAACAAGCTTTCATCGCCTTATACCAGTCTCCAACGCTCGAAGAGTAGGCTCTAAAAGAATAGGTTAGTGACCACTTTTATGATTTAAAGGTTAAAGCTTTCTTACAATTAGGCTGCGTAGAAACCTATAGGTCCCTACTAAATAGGTTAGGTACCGACCCTATAGGGTAGGTTATAGTGAATAAGACCTAACCTATAGGTCCCTAAATAAATCTACGACCTAACCTATAAGGTAGACCTAACTTATAGGTATAGTGTATCCTAAGGTACTAAGGTACCTTTATACTTACGTAATACCTAAGGTTATAATCATTAATTAGTATAAGGATTAGTATAAAGATTAGTATAAAGATTAGTATAAAGATTAGTATAAAGATTACTTAGATTAGTATAAAGATTAGTATAAAGATTAGTATAGTTATCCTAAGTTTAAACAATTATAAAATAAATAAATTAAAATAGTTTTATATATATTTATTTTAGTACTTAGGCTCTACTATCCTTAAGTCCTTACCTACTTTATTACGTAATCTAAAATAGATCTTTTATCTTATAATTCCTATACCTGTTTCTTTAGTATATTAATACCCTTAAGAGTCTCTAGCTTAGATCTTAAAGACAGAGTTAGTAAAACCGACTTTACGCTATTATAATCTTTATTAACTACTAGCTTAAGAATGTCCTTATCCTTAAGGTCTTCTAGTAGATCGTAGATTAATAGATCTTACGTAGTATTTCTCTTCTTACGCTCTACTATTTATATACTATATATTTTACGTATAGACATAAAGAGTACTTAAGTATTATCTTAAGCTATAAAACAAGCCTATAAGAGCCTCTTATATATAATAGTATTAAGGCGTCTTTATATTTATAGTGTTCGTACTTAATAGCCCGGCTAGTTTAGTTCTCTCTCTTTATTACTAATATAGTAATCTACTACTTACGTATTAACTTCTTTTAGACGTAAGTTAACAGATGTTTCTTACTTCTTTAGCTTAGCTTCTATCTCTTCTTTAGTTATACTATTAACATTAATAGTATTAGAAAGTATCCTTTTAAGCTTATTACCTTACTCTTTCTAAAGTTAAGAGAAAAAAACTAATATAAGGGTATAGATAGCTAGAGGTTTAAGTTAGCTATAATAATAGCTATATATATTATATAAAAAATTAAAGAGGCGCTTAATACTAACGCCTATAAGAGGAATATAAAGTAAGTCTCTAGCTATTACTATAAGGCTAAAGAGACAAGTCTTAAGCTACTACTAAACTAAGAAGAGTATATAGTTATTAGGTTCTAGTTTTAAGTTAGTAATTAGTATAAAGATTAGTATAAAATAACTTACTTATCTTAAGCTATATATCTACCTTATTATCTACTATATCTATACTTAACGATTAATCTTAATCTAATACTAATACTATAGTATCTATGTTTACTTCTTAGAGTATTTAAAGACGATTAGAATTTCTTATGTAATTACGATAGTTCTTTTAGTATAGTTTATAAAACTACTTCTTAAACTCTAATTACTAATCCTTTACTTTAAAATTAAGCTAATAATAGTTAGGATTAAAAGTCTTTAATTTTAACCTTAGGTTTAAGATTATACTTATTATATAAATACTACTAAGATCTATATATATCTTATTATAGTATTAGTTAAGTTTAGCCTTAGTAGCGTTAATACCTTAGATAAGAATACAAACCTATAGTTTTTAATTAACTTTTACCTTTAGTTAATAGTAGGATTTAGTTAAGTATTTAAACAACTCGTTATAAATCTATAGAGTATATAGTAAGGTAATACTCTTTATCTTACTAATAGTAGTTATAAAAAAATTAAATAAGTAAAGAAGATTAATTAAATATCTAATTTAATCTTACTTAACGCTTAATATCTAAAACAAGTATACTACTATATAATCTTTATAAAATTTGTTAATAGCGTTCTAAAGTCTTATTACCTAAATTAACATTAAAACAGTAGAGTCTTATTAAGTAGCTACGTCTATAATTAATTAAAGAAGACGTGTTAGATTATTACGAGCTAGCCTGTTTTAAATCTATTTAAAATGTTCTTGTCTTTACTTACTTAAGTTAACTAGTACTATAAGCTTTTAAATCTATATCTAATTAGTATAAAGATTAGTATAAAAATTATAACTAATCTATACCTTTACTAGTATATATAGTATACCTTAGTTACTTACTTATTATATCCTTTTAAGCTTGTCTATCTCTTACTTATTCTTCTAATCCTAAATAAATGTTTTATTTGTTAGTTATAGTTAAATTATACTTAAGAGCGCTTTTATAGTAAGCTAAAGAATATATAATAGATAAGGAATATATTAGATTTACTTATTAAGAAAACGACTATTCTTTAGTATGTCTTTAAGATATAAATTAATTTTATCTACTATCGTATAGTTATTACTAGTATTGTTAGTTATAATTAATATTACTTAACTAGTTAGGTTAAGATTTGTTAGTAAATTATTAATAACTGTTACTAAGGCCTGTCTTAAATAAATATTACGTAGGTTTTTAAACCTAATTAACTCTTCTTAAAGTACCTAGTCTTTATTAATATAATATGTTATAACGCTTATAAACAAAAGGCGTATAAGACTTAACTAATAATTAAGAGATAAGGCTACCTTACTACCTAGTACTAGGTTTACAAGTATGTTCTCTTTAACTTAGGTAACGCGCTATATTAAGTAGGTCTATATAGTTGTTACTAATAGTAATTAAAAACAAGGATTTAATAGCTTTAATAGCTGTTAGAGATTAGTGTTTTTTATAGCCTAGAAAAAGAGTTATAAAAAAACGATTGTTTTAAGGACCTAGTCCTAAAAAGCCTTAGTTATAAGGGTAGTAGACTATATATACTAGTTAGTTTATACTAATCTTTATACTAACTAGTTATACTTATAGTTATAGATAATAAAACAGCCTTATAAAGAGAGAGTTGTCTTTATAAGCCTTAACTTTAACTTATAAATACGTTAACACATTATTTAGACGTTAGGTATTTTATAAGAGTAGTAGTACTAGTTATAAGTACTCTTAAATTAGAATAGACAAGTATTATAAAACACTTCTAGTATATAACTACTAGTTTACTAGTATACTAATTTGTAGTCTAGTAGAATTATTACTAGTATACTAATCTTTTAGTTATGTCTTAACCTAGCTGTTTTACTACATTAGTATTATTTAAACCTACTATTATAGCTACCTAATCTGTCTATAGCTACTAAGTAAGGAATTAGTAATGTTAGTCTTTAGTCTACTAGAAACATTAATTTCTTTAGCTAATAGTATTTAGTAAAGGTCTGTTAGTAATAGTATTATTACTAAATAAGTTTGTAGCTAAGGAGGAATTAAGA